CACTCACTTACCGCACTATTCAGACTATCGTTACTGCACTTGAAAGCGTGCGCACTTACTATGATACTCGGCAGTTTTAGTTCCTCTGACTATCACTTTATGATCATTTCCACCTTTAACTTTTAGGTTCACTTGTATGTATTTAAAAACGCCCTCGGGATCGATGTCGACGTCGGGAACTTTGCTCAAAGCGTCTGCCATCTTCGCAGTGCCAGCAGAAGAGAGCAGGCGAATGAAGCCAACCTTATACAGTAAACACATTCTTAAAGCTATATCAACAGCAAAACTACAAACCGGAAGTGAACCGGAACGTTATTCGTGTATATTGTGTTTTATGTTTGTTCCTGGTGGTTTATGCAACAAAAAAAAATTAATAGGCCTACTTTCTTTATTTTCACAGATGGTTAAAAAGATTAAAAAATCTGTAAAAGGGAGGATATTTAAAGCAGTAACCTATATTTATGCAAATTATTCATTTGCCAGATCTAGTTCTACATGCAGAGGAAAGCTTGACTTTATTTGTCGGTGTCTGACATATTTTGGCTTATCTCACTCTCGCCACCCCTTCCTTTCTATACAGACCTGTGGACTTTCCCGACAACAGCAAGTTTGTCTAATCAAACTATTTTAGCATTTTCCCATTTTGTTAAGCCAGAAAAAATGATTAAGTCTATTTAATTTTAAATAGGCCTGTACACAACAGTAATGCAATAAATATTAGCCTAAATTGTGCAAAATATATAGGCTAGTTATTAGTATTTGGTTCAGGTTGTCTCTTTCAATTGTTTTGTCTTTTCGGAAGTCTTTTATTTATTTATTTTTAGTATCATAAAACTGTAGTATTGCATCTTTAAAAGCTACAATTTATAGTGAGAATATATTTGAGAGTGTTTTGAAATATTGTTTTGACTGTCCTTATATTATATATGTATATGAAGAGTTCAGATGCAAAATACTCTAAGTGCCATCTGAAAATTTCTAATATGACCATTTTCTGAGACTCATTATATGTTATGTTATATAAAATATATATTTATCAAGCTTTGTGTTTGTGTTTTTCAGGTAATAATCTTTTCAGTGATGTTCTCGGTCGAATTTAAGCATTGTTAAGCATTAAAGAAACAATAAACAATCTAAATATCATGTGTAAGCAGAAAATATTATTGTCCATCCTTTCCTAACTGAAGGTGCATTTTCAACACATGGTCCCATAGTTGAAGAATTTGATTATAATGAATTGATTCAACATCCAATACAATAATCTGGGACCAAAAATAAATGTACACATTGATCATTCAAAAAACAAAACATAATATTACAACCATCCTCAACTTGAATGTGTTAATAATTGTTTTTTTAATAGACATATTATTTGAGCTGTAATACTTTTCTTTTCATTGTATATTTTTTCTGTTGTTTTTTCACTCATTTTAACGGTGCACTTGTGGGTGCTATTTCTGTAATGAGGAAGCTGGTACAACACTGAGCAAACACACTAAACAGAGTGGCATCCTAGAAGGTTCAAGGTCTCACGAAATTTCATAATGAGAAATTCCTGGAGAGCTTAACAATAATGGCTTTTAAACAAAGCAAATATAATACCACCCAGGTATGATTGATAAAACTCTACACTAATTTCTTGTCTATTTTTAAATTCAATTAAATGGTATTGGACATATATTATTGTCAAATACGTCTTCTGATCTAACGCTTGTTATTTTGGTATGAGAAAATTTTAGTTTATGGTTTATTTTATTAACATTTTATGGGAGTCATATGCTTATGGCATGTTTACATGATGTTCTCTACGCTGAACATGGAATTAACGTTGCCATTAATTGTCTTTCCATGAAACTGGGAAGATGAAAGCATTAGTTGAATTGTTACTGGCAACATCTTCTCTGTAATGCCCCCTGTGACCCATATTGTCTCGCTCTTTCCTTTATAAACAGAGCTGTAGATATCCACAGGAAATGGGGGTGTTTTTGCCATTATTTCTTCCTGCTAATCATTTTTAATACCAAAAAGTAAAAGTGTTCTCTTAAAGTTAATCAGGTGGTCCAAAAATTGGTATAATTCATTCCTTCATTTGCTTTTCGGCTTAGTCCATCAGTTAATCAGGGGTCGCCACAGTGGAATGAACCTATATCCAATGTATGTTTTACGCAGCGGATGCCCTTCCAGCTGCAACCCAACACTGGGAAACATTCATACACACTCATTCACACAAATACACTACGGACAATTTAGCTTACTCAATTCACCTATACCACGTCTTTGGGCTTGTGGGGGAAACCAGAGCACCCGGAGGAAACCCATGCAAACACGGGGAGAACATGAAAACTCCAAACAGAAACGCTAACTGACCCAGCCAGGGCTCGAACCAGCAAGCTTCCTGCTGTGAGGCGATCCTGCTACCCACTGCGCCACCGTGCTGCGGGTATAATTCATATTTTGAAAATATGTTTTCTCTTTTGCTCATCAAGGTTTTCCCTTAATTTTTATGCCAAGTAAAGATGTCATTGTTAATACAGCATTTTTTTTTAAACCCACTTCAACAAATTTTCAATATACTGCCTATATCGAAAGTAATGATATTAAAAAATAGTAAAGACACAAGAAAAATAATAATAAAAAAGCTAAGTTGAATAAAACAAGGTATTATTCATTTATTCATTTTCTTGTCGGCTTATTCCTTTTATTGATCTGGGGTCGCAACAGCGGAATGAACCGCCAACTTATCCAGCAAGTTTTTACGCAGCGGATGCCCTTCTAGCCGCAACCCATCTCTGGGAAACATCCACACACACATTCACACAAACACTCATACACTACGGACAATTTAGCCTACCCAATTCACCTGTACCGCATGTCTTTGGACTGTGGGGAAAACCGGAACACCTGGAGGAAACCAACGAGAAACGCAGGGAGAACATACAAACTCCACACAGAAAAGCCAACTGAGCCGAGGTTCGAACCAACGACCTTCTTGCTGTGAGGTGACAGCACTACCTACTGCGCCACTGCGTCGCCCCAACAAGATATAAATAAATAAATAAATAATCAGACAACAATAATGGATGTTATAGTAAGGGATAATGCTGTGCTATCTTACAATGATGTCTAGCGTAGACTAAGCATGAGGGTCTGGACAGAGAGAGAGAAAAAAGTGAAATTACAGTTACATACAAAATAAGTTACATTATTCCCCAGGAAGTACATTTATAGCAGAGAAATATGATAATAAGAGTTGACAAAAATATGAGAATTTGCTAGAACCTTTAATTGAATATTACATTTTTTTTTTCCCAAGTGTAGATATAACATCAGATCTTGAAGTTAGTGTGATGCTTTAGGTAGATTTAAAGATTTCCAGTGCAATAAAATTTGCGAGCCGGTAGGGATGCAAATGCAAAAATGTTTTGTTGTCTTTGAGTTTAATTAATCCAAGTGGAATGCCGAACAATGCAAATTCCACACATGACTTAAGCTGTACTTCACACTTTAGACAATTTATCGAATATGGTTGACCAGTAAGGAATAAGCTTAGGGCACATCCAAAACATGTGAGAAAAGTCTGCTTCGCTTGTGACACCTTATACAGGTCTTCTCAAAAATAGAGTTAAAAGAGGCTATCTGTGATCTACTTAGATTTATTCGATGTGACACTTTAAATTGCATGAAATATATTTTAAAAAGGACTCAAATGATTCAGTGTCAAACAATCCTTCAGAAATACTGCTTGTTGGTGCTCAATTAATAATCATTCTAAGGGTTATAACGGTTCCTGATATTATCGTATATACTTATATTATTATATATTTTAATTATATATTAAAAGCAGGCTTGGTTGCTCAATATTCTTTTCCAGAAACTTTAATTTGTTTACTAGAAAGTTCAAAAGAACATCATTTTTTTTAAAATGTAAAAATGTTTTACTTAAACTAGAATCAATTTAACAAGTCTTTGTTGAATAAAAGTCATTTCTAAATTTTAAATCTTACATTTTTCCCGAATGTTTTAATAGTAGTTTACATGAACAGATGATGCCAACCATAGAGGACTTCTAGAGGTCTCCATAACGCTGGACCAGGCCATATCCTGAGCAAATGCTGTGGTGGTTATGGAGGAGTTGGAGAGCATGAGACTTATTCCTGAAAGACGCCAGTGACAGATGAGTCTTTGGATTATTCCCGTAGATCAGCCTGATAACCCGCCGGTTATACCTACTTACACCAGCAGCTTCTCCACGATTAATGTCCAGCGTTCTCCACCCTCCGGCACCAACAGACTAAAGCTCTGCACATGAAGTTTGGCCAGAGGAGAAATGGTCGTGTCCAACTAAGCTTGGTTTCTCTCAAGGTGTTTTTCCTTCACTTTCATCAATTGGTGAAGTTTGTTCCTCACCACTGTCGCCTCTGGATTGCTTGGTTTGGGACTTGTTGAGCTGCACATCGATGGATTTGCTCTTCAGTGTTTGGACGTTCAGCAGTGAAAATTAAACCACACTAAACTGAACTTCAACTCTGAAAACTGGACTGACAGACTTTCAATTTACTAGAACTATGTTAAGCTGCTTTGACACAATCTACATTGTAAAAGCACTATAGAAATGAAGATGAATTTAATTTATATGGTTTACACAAAAATGTTAAGCAACACAATTGTTTTCAAGATATTTTGAAAAATGTTGGTAACCAGTAGCTATTGACTTGCATAGTTTGAAAAAAAAAACCTCATATTTACTGGTTTCTAACAATCTTAAAATATCTTCTTTTGTCTACAGCATATAAAAGAAACTCAAATAGAAAACCAAATGCTTTGACCAGTGCTAGTAAACAATTAGAGAATTTGGGTGAAGCAAATCAGCATTTAATATTTAAGCAGCAAATAAGCATTTTAAAATAGTTCATCATAAAAATAGTTTTTTTTTTTCTGGTAATAAAATATTAGTCATCCTGATGTGGGTGTATCAGATCGAGACACCTCCTTCCTGAAACATCATTTCCTTGCACACTTCCTTAAGAAAGTGGAGTGCTAAAAAATTGAAAGTGTTTGAAAAGAAAAGGCAGTTTCCTCCTTGATCAGGATTGGAGAGGGGTTTTTCCAGAGTCCTGAATTCCTTTGCTTGTATTGGCTGATGTCACAAGTGGATCCGGGAAGGGAAGTCTTTATCCACAGCTGAGCCCCTATATAAATGCCCCAACACAGCAACTCCAAGACCAGACTCCCAATCAAAGCCATCAAACAATAAAAGGGGGCAAAAAGTACAGAACTACAAACTACAGAAAGGACCATAAACAGGACCACTGCAGAACATCACTGATAATGGTAAGTAAAGCATTAACAATATGCATTTAAATTATTTTAAGATGCCACAAGGGGAAATTCTGTCATCATTTACTCACCCTTTACCCGTTTCAAACTATTTTCAGTTTGTTCTGTTGAACACAAAATGAGATATTTTGAAAAATGTTGGAAACCTGTAACCATTGACTTCCCTTTGTTTTTCCTACAATGGTTGTCAGTGGTTACAGGCATCCAACTTTCTTCAATATGTCATATTTTGTGTTCAACAGAGGAAAGAAAATCAAACAGGTTTGAGTAAATAATAACAGATTTTTTTTCAGATCAGTTTTTGGTGAAATATCCATTTAAGTATCAATTATTAAGATCATCTAAGTGATATAATTATTTTATTTTGCAGGACATTTGCAACAAGTTGCAGTTCTTTGCTTCGTTTGTTCTTATCTCTTCAGGTAGGAAAGTAAACCATATAACTGCATACTGTAAATAGTTCAAATAGTTCATTAATAGTTCCAATGTTTCATTTCTGCAGCGCTAAACTTATGGAGATGCAGTGAAGGTTGGTCATACCACTACTCAGACTCCACCATGACATGGCAAAATGCCAGAAACTGGTGCAGGCAGCACTACACCGACTTGGTGGCCATCCAGAACAAAAATGAGATTGCTCACCTCAACGGAATTCTTCCAAGACGCAATGGCTATTACTGGATTGGTATTCGTAAAATTAATAACCAGTGGACCTGGGTGGGAACTAACAAAACACTTACTGCTGAAGCTGAAAACTGGGCAGAAAAGGAGCCCAACAACAAAGGAAATAATCAAGACTGTGTGGAAATATATATTCAAAGAGAGAAAGATGAAGGTAAATGGAATGATGAATCCTGCTCAAAATCAAAGACAGCGTTGTGCTACACGGGTAGGTAGCTTTTACGGATTTATAAGATCTTGTATGGCCTTCCAACCAATGCATTTAGATGAAAATGAAAAGTCATTCTGCTGTATTTGTTGTATAAATACAACCATCATCAAATAAGTATGCTGTTGTCTTTACCTTAGCTTCCTGCGCGAGTGACTCCTGTGTCAGTGGTCATGGAGAGTGTGTAGAAACCATAAACAGTCATACATGCTCATGCTTTGAAGGCTTCTATGGAAAAGTATGTGAAAATGGTGAGTAACATTTTCTGGTGATGTTTCCCATATCAGTTCTGACAATGAAAGGTGTAAAATCTAAACTGTGTGACTTTTTTCTGCTGTTTAGTTGTTAAATGTGAACCAAATGAAGTCAATGCATTGGATCATTCTAGTAAGCAGTGCTCTCATCCTCATGGAAACTTCGCATATGACTCTCAGTGTGAATATTCATGTGAGGAGGGTTATGAACTGAAGGGTTCCAGTACAACGAGATGCAATTTTACAGCGGAGTGGACAAGCAAACCACCATCTTGTGAGCGTAAGTGGAATTTACAGTGCAAATAAAAACAATGCATTTCATCACTCATTTTTTAAAGCACTTTCACATCATTTTGCAGTTGTTCAATGCCCACAGCTGAACAAACCACTGAAAGGTGGCATGCAGTGTAATCATCCGATGGGTCAGTTCAGCTATCAGTCCAGCTGTGAGTTTGTGTGTGATGAAGGATACAAACTGCGAGACTCCAGCTCTTCTACTCTGATCTGTGGAGCAACGGGACACTGGAATGATTCACAGCCCACTTGTGAAAGTAAGAAAGATTTGCTTTTATGAGAACTACTTTGCTGCAGTCCTACTCTTGTCTTTTTTCAGCTCTAATCTTTATCTTTGAGATGAATAATCCTGATCTTATTTTCTGATTTTCAGTAGTAAAATGCAAAGCAAAGGATATCACCCCACCAGCTCATGCTAAAGTCCACTGCACTAATGAAGATATACCCTATAAATCTCAGTGTGAATATTCCTGTGAGGAGGGTTATGAACTAAAGGGTTCAAGTACAACAACGTGCACTTCAACAACAGAGTGGTCAAGTGAACCAACAACCTGTGAACGTGAGTAGCATTTATATTGTCTAAAGTTACAGATTTATATGTACATATGTCTTTTTATTTTTATTACTCTAATCAAAATTTGCTAATCTCTTCACAATTTTCCTCCTCACCATTCAGTTGTTCAGTGTCCAGCCCTTGAAAAACCTGTCAATGGCGATCTCAGCTGCACTTTAAGCTTTAGTTATGGGAGTAAATGCAGCTTCAGTTGTGGAGAAGGATTCATCCTCACAGGAGTTTCAGAGACCAGCTGTACAAAAACAGCAGAGTGGAGTCAGGAACCACCTCGCTGTGAAGGTAATAAACAAACTCTTGCTCCATCAATAAATTCACAGACTTTTTTTAATTTATCTTAATAAAACTTTTAGTTTTAGATTTATCACTAACTCATCAGCTTTTAAATGCCTGTTTAATTTGCACTGACAACATCTGCCAATACTGCTTCAGACTATTTAAAATATTTCACCTTGAAATTTCTGTGGAATTTCTTTGCAGTTGTTCAATGCTCAGAGTTGGCCAATCCACAGAAAGGTGGCATGCAATGTAATCATCCGATGGGTCAGTTCAGCTATCAGTCCAGCTGTGAGTTTGTGTGTGATGAAGGATACAAACTGCAGAACTCCAGCTCCTCTACGCTGATCTGTGGAGCAACGGGACTCTGGAATGATTCACAGCCCACTTGTGAAAGTAAGAAAGATTTGCTTCAACAAGAATATTTTAGCAGCTATTACTCTTGGCTTTTTTCAGCTCTTTGAGATGTATAAAACTGATGCTGTTTTATTATTTTAGTTGTAAAATGCAAAGCAAGGGATCTCACCACACCAGCTAATGCTAAGGTCCACTGCACTAATGAAAATATACCCTATGAATCTCAGTGTGAATATTCCTGTGAGGAAGGTTATGAACTAAAGGGTTCAAGTACAACAATGTGCACTTCAACAACAGAGTGGTCAAACGAACCACCAACCTGTGAACGTGAGTATCATGGTAGTTGTGGTCTTCATTACATCATATATGGGACTCCTGTAGACCATTTCAAAGTGGTGATGACATTTGGCTCATAAACATTCCCTGCTTGTCAAACTATTTCATAACTATAACAAGAGGCAATTCAGTTGTAGCTTTATGTTTAAGCAGCTATAACATTATTTATCAATATGTTGAGCTCATTGGATTCTCTGGAGCTGTGGAAATAAAAAATGTAAAAGAGGAAATACTTTATGACCTTTGTTTACGTCCCTCAAAATGGTCTACAGAAGTCATGTTCACGATTGAAATAAAGTATTCAAGACTTATTATCATCATGTGAAGCAGAGTTAAACTGAAAGCTGTCGAAGTGAAATGAGAATGCTTAAACAATTGCTATTGAAAAGCAAATGCAACAAGCACGAAAGCAGTGGAGCTTTTAATATGTCACAGTCTGAAAAAACGCACATGATGTTAAAGCATCTTTGGTGTTTGCCTGTTTTCTATAAACCCAAACCGGAAATCAAGAGTGTATGATGCCATTAGCATGATGGCACAGGACATGGCCTGTGTCACTAGTTAAAATTGCTTGTTTTTCTTACTTTGAACAATCTTTGAATCATTTGGGATAATGTGAGTACACAAGTCTGCAATATTTATAATTTTGTTCTAGTGTTTTTGGACAGTTTAATGGAAAAATCTTAAATGTTGTGCCTTTAATGTATTTAAAAAAAATGTCTTCTAAGTGAATTTTATCACCAACTCATTAGCTTTTAAAAATCTAAGTTTAATTTGCACTAACAACATTTGCAGATACTGCTTTAAACAACTTAAATTATGTACACTTTACCTTGAAATATCTGTTGACTTTTTTACAGTTGTTCAATGCCCAGAGCTGGCCAAACCACTGGAAGGTGACATGTATTGTAATCATCCGATGGGTCAGTTCAGCTATCTGTCCAGCTGTACGTTTGTGTGTGATGAAGGATACAATCTGCGAGACTCCAGCTCCTCCACTCTGATCTGTGGAGCAACGGGACACTGGAATGATTCACAGCCCACTTGTGAAAGTAAGAAAGATTTGCTTTTATGAGAACTATTTTGCCGCAGTCCTACTCTTGTCTTTGAGATGAATAATTATGATACATTTTCTGATTTTTAGTTGTAAAATGCAAAGAAGAGGATATCACACCACCAGCTCATGCTAAAGTCCACTGCACTAATGAAGATATACCCTATGAGTCTCAGTGTGAATATTCCTGTGAGGAGGGTTATGAACTAAAGGGTTCAAGTACAACGACGTGCACTTCAACAACAGAGTGGTCAAGTGAACCAACAATTTGTGAACGTGAGTGTGCAATGCAAAATATATATATTTTAAAAGACAGACAAGCATCTTTTTTAGAAACCTCTCATAATAGCGTGCTAATCTGTCCATAATGTTTCTCTTTACCATTACAGTTATTCAGTGCCCAGCCCTTGATAATCTTGTCAATGGAGATCTCAGCTGCAATTCAAGCTTTAGTTATGGGAGTAAATGCAGCTTCAGTTGTGCAGAAGGATTCATTCTCCAGGGAGCTTCAGAGATCAGCTGTACAAATACAGCAGAGTGGAGTCAGAAACCACCTCACTGTGAAGGTAACGAACAAATCTTGCCTCATTTATCCATTTACAGGTTGATTTATTATCTAAATCTAGCTTATGTGTGTACTATGTGTCATTTTTTAATACAAAACACATTGTTGTTCTTTTCAACTGTAGCTGTGGTTTGTCCTCAACTTTCTGACCCAGCAAATGGGTACACAAACTGTTCATCTGATGAACCCTTCTTTGGCACCATCTGCAACTTCATCTGTTTTGATGGCCACCAGCTTGACAGTAATGAGACAGTGATGTGCAGCCATGATGGGAGATGGTCAGGGGAAGTGGCGGTATGTCAAGGTAAATGGCTGATATTAATAAGCAGAGATGTCATTTAGGTGATAGAGTGAGACCGACATTCTACAGCTTTCTCTTTAACTATATTTACAGCTCAACCTGGTCCCTCTAAATCGCTCTTCAAAGCAACAGAAGTGGCTCTTGGCGTTGCAGGAACTGTCGGCAGCTCCAGTCTGTTCTTAGTCTACTGGATACTGAAGAAACTGAAGAGTAACGGTGAGCCAAACAGTCTACTGAGTTTTATTATGTGACAGCTTTAACATATTGTAGTATAGCAAACTAGAATCTGTCCTTCCATGTTGTTCATAAATAATTGAACAAAAATAACTTAAATACTAATTAAAATGTCTTTTTTGTTTTTGTTTTCAGCTAACAAGTTTAAACTGAACAGGTGAGATCTGGCTTATTTTAATACACGTATTATTTATCAGTCTAGTGCTCTTGGTTTATGCATATAGAATATATTTTGTTTAACTCTGCTTTTGTCTTTTTTTATTTCTAGCACTTTGGATACTGTGGATCCACCGCAGGCTTATAAGAGCAGTATTGACAGTCTCCTATAGAGCAAAAGTGCTTCAAACTACACTGTGAGCATATATTCCTCATAATGCACATATAAAGTCAGTTTGGGTAATGATAATGAGTTTATTCCAGTAAAAAGTTTATTAAAAACTAATTTAACCTTGTTTGTTTTTACAGGATCTTATATGGCTGTAGTGGAAACACTTCAGAAGATATTCTTTATCCAGTATGATGGGCATTTTCCATGCAGACTGCAGTCCCTAAATTAATGTGATTTCTACTTCCCAATGGAAGCATTATTTACTTGAGTTGAACATATTGTTCTTTACTGTTTAACCCTCTGAGGATGTTTTGGGGGGGACAAGAGGAGTTCTGAAGTGCCCTGACACTTGTGCTTTTATCAGTTTCTTATGAACATATAATTTGCTAAAGTCTATTAACACTGTAAACAGCACAAAGTGAGCTACAATATTTTAGCAATATTTATGTACATGATTGTGTTGTTGAAAAGGAAACGTTTATGCATGGTTGGTGAAAATAATAAATGTTGAAGTCACTGAAATAACTCCATAAAACACATACATAATTTTGTAGCCTAGAGCTTTTGCTTCAAAATTATGTGATCATATTGTTTGTTTGTTTTCAGGAAACAATAAATTGATTTAAGTCAGGGGTATCCAGGCTCAGCCCTGGAGGACCACTGTCCTGGAGAGTTTAGCTCCAACCCAAATTAAACACACCTGAACCAGCTAATCAAGCTCTTATTAGATATACTAGAAATTTTCTGACAGGTGTGTTGAAGCAAGATGGAGCTAAACTCAGCCGGATACTAGCCCTCCAGGACCAACTTGGTACACCCCTCAATAAAGTGAAGTTTATTTATAAACTAATTTCGAGAGGATCATGTGCTTATGATTGTCCACAGCTGGTCCAGCATTGGCTAATACATGATTCACCAATCAGATGATTCCTAACCTGCTATAAATAACCAAAATGTCTTACCTCAGTATCTTCGTTTTGAAGAATCCCTCCTCCCACCCCTACTCCCCCTCCTTTCTAGATTGGGCACTGTTGCCTTACAGCAAAAATGTTACTGGTTAAAGTCCCAACTGAACCAGTTGACATTTCTGTGTGGAGTTTGCTTGTTCTCCCCGTACTTGCATGTGTTTCCCCTGGGTTCCTCCCACAGTCCTAAATTGAACATTCTAAATTGGTATCATAGTCGAACGCTTAGTAAGCCATATATCTCTCTTTAGCCATTCCTTTATTTGTTATTAGCCAGAATTAAGTTGGGGGAGTTCATCTAGATCTACCTGAGCTCAAACTCCCCTCTAGCTCTGTTAATGGGAGGGAGCCCAGGGCTCGAGGATCTTATAAGCTCAGAGCTCTCTACAGGGACAGCATGCCAAATAAGCTTTTTAATCAATCATCAGCTAAATGTGAACTTCTGAAATATTCTAAGAAACTTTTTGGGTGGAAAGGATCTATGCGAGGAGATCATGCAGTGATTCACACCTGAGAAGACAAATACTTGCATAATGAGTTGCATAATGGACCATCCAGATAGGTAGATAACTGAGAGGGGAGAGTCATAAGAAAGACTGTGAGGAGGACAAAATAAGTTTAAAATATTTATATACATTTATGATGTTTTAGTTTACTGAGAATATCAATAGCTTTCACACAAAATAACTTGATATGCACTTTGAGTGCAGTTTAACGCTTTATTGTGCATATTGTTTTGTTGTAATTATGAATAGAAATATAGGCCCTTTACGGCTGTGTTTTTCTTATCAGGACTAAAAAAATGAGAGTATTTTAAGCTCCTTTTTTGTCATCACATAGAAAAGTGCTAAAACACATATAGCCTATACATTTGCCAACCCCAGGGAGTGTAATATATATTTTCATATTAATTCTGTGTTAAAGAAAACATTTTTGTACTATTTATTTAGCAAAAACTGTAGCTGTCTGATTACTATTTGTAAAGTTCAATAAAGTTTTGCTTTCATTGACATGAGGTCTTGGCTGTTTTAATGCATTTATCAGTTTCAGATGAGACCTAAAACTTCATAAAAATAAACATCATTCATCAACATTAAAGTATAAATAAACGTTTAATGTGACTATTCAGACTTTCCCATTCCACAAATGTCTTATTATTGTAGCCAATCTGCATTGTCTTGTCATATATTCAAACTTGTTCCTTCAATCAATCAGAAAATGATAAGTCGTTACCAGTAAAATAAACTATACATTTAAAAACTTACAAAACGAGTCTAAAATATGACAGAAATCATTATTCCTGATCATTGCTCTTGATATTTAAGATCAGAAAAATATATAGTTGCCTTTATGAAAAATAAGTATACTTTTTAGGTTCATTTTAGTATGTATACTAAGGTAATGTTAAAGTATATTTTAAGTAAACTTCACGTATTAACATATATGTACTAGTATAATGCTTGCAAGACTGGCAGAATGGGGACAAGGGTTTCAGCCAGCATAATCACAAACACAGGCACTCCACAGGGCTGTATCCTCAGTTCCATCCTCTACACATTGTTCACCCAAAACTGTGTGGCCTCCCACAAGTACAACATCATCCTAAAGTTTGCAGTGGACAAGAGGAAAGAGAGAAGCCCCCATTAGCCACTGCTTATGTGTGGACTGGAAGTGGAGAGGGTGAGTATATCTGGGGGTCCGCATCAGAGAGGACCTCCTCTGGAAGCTCAACACTACACAGCTGATGAAGAAAATTCAGCAGCGGCTGTACTTCCTGGGGAGGCTAATGAAGTCTGGCATGTAACCAAGGATTTTCAGCAACTTCTTAAGCTGCAATGTTGAGTCTATCCTGACTAAATGCATCACCGTGTGGTATGGTACGACAGCTCTACTGTCATGGACTGAAAACACCTGCAAAGAGTAGTGATGACTGCATCTAAGATCACCAGGAATCCTTTGCCCTCTCTGTAAAGGATCTGTCATCGCAGAGTCCACATGATAGCTGTCTCCATCATCAAGGACTCCAACTCTCTCCTTCCCATAAAAACATCCAACAGTATTCCAGATTGGGAAACAGTTCACCAAATCAGGCAGGCAGCAGACTTGCGGTATAATGCTAAAATGCTAAACTATTCACTATTCACTGAAGAGCAGTCAGTAGAAGTACATTTCAGGAAAGTACATACAAAGTCTAATAAAAGTGTATGCTGTTTTTAAATTTAAAAGAAGTACACTATTAGTACACTTGAATAGATCTTTTTGGTAAGGAAGTACATTTTAGAGACATACATAGGAGTAGACTCAAAGTATGCTCTTATTTTGTAGTTTAAAAGAAGTGTACCAACAGTACACGCGAATAAACTTCTTTAACATAAGGGTGTGTTTAGAGATAATATTCTGACAGCAATAACAAAACATGAACATGCATAATCACTACAAGAAAAATCCAATAACTTTCGTATCTGCACTTTGGTTGTTATTTTATGTTGAATTTAGCAAGAGCACAAAATATAGCCAGAGTGAGTTGTGTTGCAACCAATCCAAAAGCCTCTGATTAGTCGTTGCATTCAAAAGCTCAACAGAAACATAGTTGTTTGTTTTCAAAGTTGTAAAACCATGCAAATAAATAAATGCATACGTCTATACACCGTTTTAATTAAACTTTTCAGTTTGTAAGATAATATACACTCACCGGCCACTTTATTAGGTACATCTTACTAGTACCGGGTTGTACCCCTTTTTGCCTACAGAACTGCCTTAATCCTTCGTGGCATAGCTTCAACAAGGTACTGAAAATATTCCTCAGAGATCTATATTGACCTGACAGCATCATGTTGTTGATGCAGATCTCCCGTTCCACCACATCCCAAAAGTTCTGGTGACTGTAGAGGCCATTTGAGTACAGTAAACTCATTGTCATGTTCAGCAGAAATGAAGACCCATCAGAGCAGGCAACATTTTTTCAATCTTCTATTGTCCAATTTTGGTGAGCCTGTGCAAATTGTAGCCTCAGTTTCCTGTTCTTAGCTGACAGAAGTGGCACCCAGTGTGGTCTTCTGCTGCTGTGTAGCCCATCCAACTCAAGGTTCGACGTGTTGTGCGTTCAGAGATGATCTTCTGCATACCTTCGTTGTAACGAGTGGTTATTTAGTTACTGTTGCCTCTCTATCAGCTGGAACAAGTCAGGCCATTCTCCTCTGACCTCTGGCTCGGTTTGAACTGCAGCAGATCATCTTGACCATGTCTACATGCCTAAATGCATTGAGTTGCTGCCATGTGATTGGCTGATTAGAAATTTACGCTAACGAGCAGTTGAACAGGTTTACCTAATAAATTTGCCGGTAAGTGTATAATATTTTTGCTGTTTATTTTTTTGGTACTGTTATATTGAATTCAGGTATTTATAATTTATTTTAGTGACATTTTTCTTTGATCCCTCTTTGTTTTCCAACTCCAAACGTCAGTAATCTAAAAGCAAACTGGAGTCTCAATTAAAGTTGCTGCACTCTCGTTTAATCTTTCCTCACCTTCAACTACATGAACTCATTAGCATTGTGATTGCAATGAAAGGTTTTGTTGAAATAACCCAGGTCATGTTCATCTGGACGTATCCTGTGACTGTGTCCTTCCCTGAAACTGCATGTAATCAGGGGGAGGCTTTTAGGTAGCTGACGCTTAAAAACATTTTTTTAGAGTGTCCTTGAAGAGTTCAATGCCATCAATTACCAACATTTTATTATTCATAATATTATTTAAATATAGGGTTGATCTTATTTTGTCTAATTACATAAATAAAACCTTTTTTTTATTTAATCAAGAAATTTTTACATCTTTCCCGCTAGTTACATAATGTTAGTCAATCCTGTGATGAAACATCCTGCCATTTAATGCAAATGACCAATAAATATGACGGGAAAACCCTTTTTGAACAGACTTAAAGCAAAAGTGTCTTTATGTGTAGAAGAAAAAGAGTATTCTGCTGAAAACAAGTGACTGATTTAAAAGAGGACTGAAGAGGACCATGGTATGCATCTTTTAGGAAATTTTCCACTTTATTGTAAGTGTTTTGATTCATTACAAATATTAATATGTGCAACTAAATGGCTGTTTTTATTGTTTAGACTGAAGGTGGTGTAAAAAATAGAGCTATACTTGTGCACATAGGAGTTTTCTTGCCTCTCTGGATGATAATGGGTGAGTAGATTCTACCTTTATCCTTTTCATTAAAGAATTACATCAATTTGTGAAATAATATTAATCTTTCATGTCAAAATATTAGTCAATGTTGAAGGATGGACATATCACACACATACTGAAACAATGACCTGGAATGATTCAAGAAAGTGGTGTCAAACTCATCACACAGACATTGTGATGGTCCACAATGAAAACGTGACAAATGCTCTGAAAGAAAAGCTGCCAAAACTAAACTCTGCTCCTTACTACTGGATTGGAATGAAAAAGATCAATGACACTTGGATGTGGGTTGCCAATGGACAGGCTGCAGACTATATAAACTGGGCAGAAACAGAGCCCAATAATCGACTGTCTGAAGAAAACTGTGTAGAAATGTACATTACCAGCTTAAGCAAAAGTGGAAATTGGAACGATGATAGCTGCAGTAACCCAAAGTACCCCGTGTGTCACAAAGGTAAGAAGTTTTTTTAGTTTAATTTATTTCCCATGGGAGCATACTAGATCTTCATATATAAATAATCTGTATATTTTCTTTAAGCACACTGCCCTAACATAACGTGCGGTGATAGAAAAGTCTGTGAAGAACAAGTCAACGACTACAGCTGTGTGTGTAAACCAGGTTTCTTGGGGCCACAATGTGACACAGGTCAGAAATAAAGTATTTCAATACATACAACAACTACAAAGTTAATAAAATGAATTTTTATGGTTTATAGCTATTAATGAAGTGATTATACTTTAAAGTGATAGTTTGCAGAATGCTTTGAAGTGATGCAAATGCTGTTGGGTATAAGCGTAGAGTTGGGGTAGGGGGACAGAATACACAGTCTGTACTGTATAAAGGCATAACCTATATAGGAAGTCCCCATAAATGATGAAAACCCAACATTTATGTATTCTTCTGGCATTCATCACAGTGTTGGGAACAAAATGTGCCCTCAATATAGCAAAAACAGTAATTTTTAAGTTTATGGAAACATTTTTTGGTGCTTATGAGGCTTATAAATCACACAGGACAAAGTATTTTAGTTAAAGAGGTAGGTTTGGGGTAAGGGGACAGAATATACAGTCTGTATATGGTATAAAAACATGAAGTCGTGGCATGTGCCAATAAAGATAGCTGTAAAAATGTGCATGTGTATGATGATGGTGACTCTCTAAAGGGGTCTAAACAAATATACTTTGCTAAATATATAATACTACTACATATTATTGTAACTGACTATCTCTCTCTTTCTCTCTCTGCAGTTGTTTCATGTCCGCACCTCTCCACACCAACCAAAGGCTGGATGGAGTGCTCTGGACTGTACGGGAATTATTCCCTTGACTCAAAATGTCAATTCTCCTGTGCAGCTGGTTATAAACTGAAAGGCACAGCTGAGCTCAACTGCAATTCATCAGGTGCATGGAATGCACCTCTACCTTCCTGTGCAGGTATGGTATATTTTTCAGTATAATTTTATGTTTAAATCAATATTACCTCTTATTTTCTCCTGAGACCCCAAAAAAATTCTACAATTTAGAGTTTTTAAATTTTGTTTTTAGTTTTAGTTTTACAGCATGTCTACTGTAGTGGACCACAGGACCATTTTAGTTTGAAACGTCCCCCACTCAGACAACAAAACTGTAGAGGATATGGCTGTAAAGGGAAATTAATCCAATATTAATGTAACAAAACAAAATAATTTTTTTTTTGTATTGAAATCCCGGAAATAGTTTAGCCTGAAATAGAGCCGTACTTAAAAAAAGAAGAAAAAAAAAAGAAGTGATGTTAATCCAAAACAAATTTAACGTTACAGCAATTTAAAACTGATTGTCATTCTCTTATTGTCTCTAATTCTCTAATTGTCTGATTGTCATACTCTAAATCAGAGTCTCCCTCAACTATCTTATAAAGAATCCTCTCTGCTTCAGTTTTGCCTCCAACAACATGCAGCCATTAATTGAGATGGTCCTAGTGTTCACTATAGTGGACATTTTAAAAAAGGATGATATTTTGAAACACAAACAAGTTAACAGATTTGAAAGCTAAATGTATTGTTCCTGACACTTTAATAAACAAATATATATGTAATATTAATAGTAAAAAATCATTTAAAAAGCTAAATTTTACATACCTCTCTCCTTCCCATAAAATGTGCTTTTTTTGTTTGTCGGTCATTTTGGATGCAGTGTAAGAAGTGGTTCATAGCATGCCAGCCAATCAAATGACATATCACAAGAAAGCTCAGGATGTCATCTGAACAGTATAACAGGACTTGACAGAGTAGCTCAAAAAATTCAAAGAAAATTCATGAAAACGCAATGTCCACTACAGAGGACATAAGTCAATGCGCGGGGTCTCAGGAGGATATATACCTTATTTTTCAATGACGCAAGACTTATGATTCATTATGAGAAGAATATACATTAACGTTCACTATACAGACAAACCAGTTTATATTTCAGACAGTGCACTAAAACAATATATTAACTCAGCATCTATATGCATTATATGTTAATGTTGTATTTGAGACTTTGAATTGAGAGCTTCTCTAATTAAATGTATTGTATTTAATCTGTGGTTTACTGATGATTGGTAGAGCTACAACACAAACACAAAGTCTATATCATCAGATATATATTAGAAGACCACTTTCATTTATTGTATTTAAAGTTTGAGTAAAATATGAATATTTGTTTTATTCTATAAAAGTATGATTTCTTTTAACAAATATCACTTAAATATATTGTGTTTTTTCAGACAATTGGTCAGAATAATAAAATATTTCCATTTGTTTTGACTGAAAATCAGGGTTATTCCACCACACATTGTTTTTTTTAACACTTCTAAAGTTTACATTAGTATTGTGTTGTCTAAAAGTTCATATATTAAATTTTTATTTTTAGCCAAAACATTCTCTAAATCACAAAAAACAATTGTATTTGGAAGGTCAGTAGTTTAAAAAATAAAGATTAGTAAAGATTAAATCTAGTGAAACTAGTTTTTCAATAGCTGGACTTTTTTTGCATGCTTTTTCTTACACATTTTTGACCACCTCAATTTTCAGCAAAAATTAATTAACAAAAATAAATCCAATAAATGTTTATGCTCATGTATTGTAAAATGGTGTACTTTAGTTTGACATGAGCCACTGAGGTCCACCCGTTTTCAAGGTCTAATCACCAAGAATTTATCACCTTCCACTTTTCTATCATTTATTATGTGAGATTAAGTTTTGCTTTCCTGTTGCAGCGGAGTGTTTTCCCCTTCTGTTGTTTGGTGGTAGACTGATAAACTGCACTGAAGCACATGACAGCTCTAGGTCTGCCTGTACAGTTCAGTGTCCTCCTGGTCATCTGCTGCTGGGTTTTTCTCGGTTTTCCTACAGAGCTGACGATACATGGGAATGTGCATATCCAATGATGTGTGCAAGTAAGTTTGTACTTTACAGTTGTGCACCACATTTATTAAGTATAGTTTATTTTGTGATCTTACATTAAAGAAATGTTTGGAAAACCCTAAACTTATTTTTATTTTACATATATAAATAATCCTGAATAAAAAGCATTGAAAAGTAACATTTAGTCAGTATTATTTCCACCTATTAGAGGGCAGAAAGCTTTCATGTTTATTTAATGAAATTATATAGATGTGAATGTGAATAAATAACAGATTAATCATGATTTATGAATATAAAAAGATTTAGAGTGCTCACTGACACTTGTTTTATCGTTCCTCAGGCTATATCCATTTTCTAATTGCACTTTTGGCATCGGCTGTCATCTCAATGTTTTGTGGTTGTTTATGTGGTTGCTGCATCTGCAGAAAGAGTGAGTTTTGTGATCTTTAATTTATAATTTATAATATACCACAATTACAGTATGTATGAAGAAAAATATATCATCTAATATTTTTTCCTTTTAAATTTTGGCTTTAGGTAAAAAGGTAACATCAAGGTAATTTGTTGTTATGTGTAATTTTGTTTTAGCATTACCACTGATTTGGATGTATGGAAATCTTAATTCACAATGTTTTCTTGTAGAACACAACAGGAGACTATAAATCCAGCATATGAAGCAGAACCTCCGCCACTAGAGGGTCCTCTATGTTCAGCATAACCATTTTGGTCTTTTTTCTTCTTTATTTCATTCTATTTATATGCTTTGTATTCTCAAACATGAAAAAAATAAGAATCTTTAGTATTTATTTGTTTTTAAGAAAAGCAAGACAATATTTTTGGTATGTCGATTGAAGAGTTGAGATGCAAAAACCTCTAAATGCCATCTGAAAAATTCTTCTGAGCATTTTTGGCAAGCTCCTGTGTGTATGTTCAGTAAATCCACTTTTTTTGGCAAAAAATAGGTTCTTTGCATTGCCTTTAAAGTGAAATAACTAAACAAAAATATTGGAGGCTGAAGAAAAATGCTTATATAGGAGAAAATTTCAGATGGGACTTAAAGGTTTTTGCATCTGAACTCTTCAATTGTCTTTTACAAACAGTTGTGAAATGTGTCCTTTTAATGACAGCGCTATTACACAATTTCCCGTGACTTGTTTCCCATGCAGTGCAACTGTCTAAATAGTAAATCACATTTGACAGTAATTTTGTATGCATTGCTCTGTAAATTTCCTTTCAGATTTCATGCAAATAAAACTGAATTGTGTCAAAAAAAGGTAAGGCTTGCTTTTTATTACAGTTATGTGTGTGTATGTTATATAGGGTATGAATCTAAAAATGAACTTTTAAAGCATTTAGACCTCTGAAGCCTTTAGTTTGATAACATGCATAAGTAATTAGTAATTATCTATTATTATTTATTATCATGTTACCTTTGTTAATAACTAATTAATTCATTTCTAAATGTGAAAGTTGGGTTGAAAAATAAATGACCACCTCCATGCGTTTCTCACGTTCCTCAGATGGTTTTGTTGGTGCATATTACTCTATTTTCTGGATCTCTGGTATTTATGACTGGAATGTATAATGGTATGTTCTCATTTAATCTATTTCTTTATTGACATTTTCACACCAAGAACTAGAACTATAATGACAGCCATATTAGGATCTGTTTTAAAAAAAAGTATGTACTGCTGCTCATCCAAATTTAGGTTTTACAAGAAACTCTTGTAAAGATGTATATATATTTTTAATCTCTACATTTTAAAATTATAATCTTGGCTGAGCAGGTTATTGTGTGGCTGTTTGTGACAGAAGAATGCATAAAAATACAAATAATACATATATATATTAAAAAACTGTCACCTGGATTTGGGTGTAACATGGTTGCTTTGACATTTTACCTAAACACAGGCCTATTGAAAGAGGTGGTTCTTTTCTCTAAAAAAAAAGTGGACACTTGCAGTTATTCACCTAGTTTTCTATTTATTTATCAGGTTAAAATACTGCATTTTAGTGATATTTTAAGAACTAAGCATTGCTGGATTAGCTTGTCAGATGGTGTACGAAAACTATTTTCTACAATTTTGTTGAAGTGCTTACATTAAGTAAGTTTTTTTTACATAATGTTATGAGATTAGCATTTAAAAAAAATTCATAAAGAAATATGAACATTTATTATTATCAATTTATCTTCAATCACATAAAAAAACAATTAGGAATCTGTTAAAACTTGCTTTAAACTTGTTTTAACTGTAGCCTATAGGTAGGCCCACATGAAATCTACACCCAAAGAAATCCCGCTGATTTTTTTGCCAATCATTAGGTCTATGTATTTACTTGTGTAAATGTGTATTTATTTCATTTTTAAATTTGTTTCACAAATATTATTGTGATATAATAATAATATTAAAATGTCCATATGATTTATTTACAATAGTGTGTAAAGTAATATTTTCTGTCTTTTAGTAGATATATATATAATACGAGAGACTTGCTTTGTTTACCAAATAAGTGGAACTAATTGGATTTGCATTATAAACATTAAATAAGTTAAAAATGTAGAATTATTTCAAATATTGTTTAATATATGTTTTATTTATGATATTGCTAAAATCATTCCGCATAGATCCACAGATTTTGTACAAAATTCTCCACAGAAATAGCCAAAAATATGCGCAGATTCTATCTGGCCCTACCTAGGCAAATAACAAACTGGACAGCTCATTCAATTTTCCTCAGTCAGAATTTGGCCATTTGAAAAACTACAATTTTAATTTGTATTAAAGCCTTCTTCTATCGATTGTTTTCACAATTTATGTTGGCATAGTAGTCAAATGGGACAAGTGAGCCCATGTAGGAACTTTGTCAGTGGGGCTTTCGAACCACCCACCCTGGCTAATTTTATAAAATTTTTAGACAGCAAGGGGCTGTACACTGCATTGATTGAATAAGTTAAGCAGTAAATTAGGCGATTACCGTGAAAGTCCTTTTTGTTAACAAACATTAACAGTCACATTTTTATGCCACGCCACTGTGTTTATCAGTCAATGCCTGGACTTACCATTACAACATCGACAGTAAGTTGGACTGGACAGCAGCTCGTCAGTGGTGTCAAACGCATTTCACGGATATGGTGGCCATCCAAAACCAGGCAGAAATTGCATACCTCAACGAAATCCTCCCCTTCCATCGGGCATACTACTGGATTGGCATTAGGAAGATTGACGGCCATTGGACATGGGTTGGGACCAAAAAGCGCTTGACCGTCGAAGCAGCAAACTGGGCGACAAATGAACCGAATAACCAGGGGACTGGAGAAGACTGTGTGGAGATTTACATCAAGAGGAACAAAGACACTGCCAAGTGGAACGACGAGAGGTGCAGCAAGAAGAAAGCAACTGTGTGTTATTTAGGTGAATTTTAATTGTAAACATATTTAAAAAGTTGTATATTTATTCATGATTTAATATACCATAAATACTTATATGTGATAATTATATATGATAATCAGTGTGCGAATTACAAGTGGTTTGGGGGGATTGACCCCCTCATTAACGCTTGATCACCCCTAAAAGAGGTGAAAACAAGATGTATAGGGAGTCAGGTGTTTAATACTGAGAAATATTTAACTCTGATCAGTATTTTAAATTATAATGTTAATAATTAAAACAATAGATAATAAAAATACACATTGGGTGTCACAGTAGTGCAGTGGTTAGTACTGTCAGCTCACAGCAAGAAGGTTGAAGCTCCAGCTGGGTCAGTTGGCATTTCTGTGTGGAGTTTGTATGTTCTCCCCGTGCTGGCATGGGTATCCTTCAGGTGCTCCAGTTTTCCCAACAAGTTCAATGACATGCGCTATAGGTAAATTGGGTAGGCTAAATTGTCTGTAGTGTATGTATGTAAATGAGTGTGTATGGAGGTTTCCCAGTGATGGGTTGCCGCTGCGTAAAACATATGCTGGATAAGTGGGTGGTTCATTCCGCTGTGGTCAACCTAGATTAATAAAAAGACTAAGTTGAAAGGAAATTGAATGAATAAATAAATACACATCTGACCACACCTGTAACGGGTCAAACAATTGCTAATGTATAATTGCGCCAATCTATTCGAGAAAAAAGTCTGAAAGTGGCAGATCTAGAGCACCAATAAGACATTGTGTTCACAAGACTTTGTTTTCTTGTAAAATAGGTGTTTGTATCCATATTTAGCCTGAAAATAAAATCAACTTAGACGCATAGTTCGTAGTTTAACCTACAGTAACATCTGAAATAGCTAATCAGAGAATACTGCAGGTCAGAGTACACTAAATATTTCTCAAAATGCTGGACTGCAGGCACAGGACATCAACATGATGTCATGTTGACATTGTACCCCAACATCGTGGGGATGTTGGATTTTGTTTGGAAATGAAAATCAGGTTGACCTCAGAACACGACATCAGGCCAACGTCGATGTTCATTGTCCATCCTAAAATCAACCAAATATCAACATCTACTTATGTTTCACCTTAAAGTTGTGTGGAAGTTACCACTATGACATCCATCAGACGTTGGATTTTGGTCACTTTACAACACAAAATAAAATCAACCAAATATCAACGTTGTTTGATGTCGTTATTGGACTTCAAAATAACATTATCCTTAGATGCTGACTAGACATTAAATTTTGGTCACCTCACATCATGACCTAAATCTAACCTAATATTAACATCTTATGATGTTGTGTGCCTGCTGGGTGAAAACTTAAATATGTTTTATTAATAAACTAGATGTAATAAAAAATAAATACATAAATGACTTAAGCATGTATTAAACCAACTAACCGAAACAGTTGACCTCCTGATCATCAATGTATAATTCGCACACTATGACAAAATACATCAGTAATTATTTAAACAGACTTTTTTATGTGCATGGCTAAATGATAGTTTATAATGTAATTGTATAATTTATTTAAAGCATGGATTTTGAATGTTCAGTCAGGTATTTAACAGATAGCTATTTGCTGTTTAATTCACATTTAACTTTGTAGTATGATACAAATGAAATGTTATTGACTGCAGCCTCTTGCACTGAGATATCCTGCAGTGAGCATGCTAGGTGTGTGGAGACTATTGGGAACTACACATGTCAATGTGACGCTGGATTCATGGGTCCACGCTGTGAAGAAGGTGCAGTAGAACCAGTCCAAACTCAAAATGTTAATTGTGTGTTTTCTTGCTAAGTGACCATTTACACTATTGCAGTTGTCCAGTGCCAGCCAGTTGAAAACCCACAGCAAGGTCTTGTGAAGTGTGACGGCGCCTTTGGAGAGTTTAACTTTAACTCATCATGCCAGTTCCAATGTGCCACTGGTTTCAATCTGGTGGGGGCAGAGAGGATACACTGCTTGACAACAGGACATTGGAACGACACCCTTCCTGTTTGTCAGGGTATGGACCATACTGGGTTGCTATGCATAAATTGTACTTCACAGCTTAAAAATCATTGTTGATTCACATAACATTCATGGAAATTTTCCAGTCCACAAAAGGTTGTTAAAGATAAGTTCTTCTTTATTTTAAAGAGTGTTTAGTAACTCTATTTATTAGCTTATATGTGAGCAATGGATTTATGTCTGCATGTCTACAGTAGAGATGTCCTGTGCTGATGACCAGTTTTTTTTTTGCAGGTCTCTTTCAAATTTTTTGTGAAAAGTACTAATAATTTCTTCTTTTTTTTTCAGGGTGGGTAATAAACAAAAAAAACTATTTGAATGTTATTGACAATTTGTTGTTTGTTGTTTGATTTTACTTGTTAAAAATGTTGTACCATTACAGCTGTCAAATGTCAGGCAATCATTGATGCCCCTCGTGGTTGGACAATGATCTGCACTCATCCGCTTTCCATGAATAGCTTCAACTCCAGCTGTGAGTTTGAGTGTAAGGAGGGTTTTGAGCTCAATGGTTCAAAGACAACCTGGTGTGACCACACTGGCCACTGGACAGACAAAGCCCCCACTTGCACAGGTACAGAGTTGCTGATTCATAAACACTGAATATAAATGTAGATTAGGCTTAACAAAGGCCACATAATGGACAGATTACAATTAGTGTCCCAGTAAGCATTTTTCTTTTTAAAGGATGTCTAACAGACGTCTGAACATAGTCATTTTGGCTACAAGAAAGCTAAATTTGGGCTGTTAGTGAAAATCTAATAGACATCTAAGAATAGGCCAAAAGTAGACAAGTCGTCAAATAAACAGACATAAATGACCACACATACTGTTTAAAGTCTGTCTATTTGACAACTAGTCTAGTTTTGGGCTATTCTATGTCTATTAGATTTTCACTGACAGCCCAAGTTTAGCCTTGTTTTAACCAAGATGTCTACGTTTAGATATTAATAAACATAAAATTGTTTGCTGGGGTACTGTAGTAAGTGCTGATAGCAAATAATAGTGCACTTCCCTTCAATTCTTGTGAAACATTTTAATGTTTTGTAAGACTGCTAAGACACACTCTGGAACTGTATGTCCTGTAAAAAAAAATCTGTTTTTCCACACCCTTTTTGTTCTCACAATATTTTACTAATATATAATGGGTTTGACAGTGAAGGGCTAATGTGTGCAGTATACTATACCTTATTACTATAACTGTATTTGGAGTTTACTATATTTTCATTTCTCGTAGCAAATGAAAAAATTATCTCAACCTTTAAAAAAATCTCAGCTGAAACCCGTCATCACTACATCGGATTCTTTCATCTTGTTAAAGTATTTTTCATAATGTCTTTTTGCCTTGCATTGATGTAAGTGAAAGTGATTTCCTCTGTTTTGAAGGCTCCTAAAAGGCTCAATGTTTATATTTTTGAGAGGAGATAAAGCCATGATAGCATATTTAGTCGATGATCAATAAATTTAAGGCAATTTAGATAAATAAAAAAAAAATGTATTACAGCTTTAAAGTTCACGTGAAATGGAAGTTTAGAGTTTTATTATAGGATGTTGATGTACTTTCAACTGAAACGAGTTAAGTAGAGGGTGTGGTTTTCTTTTTGTGCATTATTTTCTAAGAGGGGTCTGGTTAAAAATATAGGGATGTCAAACCGACGTCAACAGAGAAGGACTGCCATTCCAAATGCCAAGCAAATTATCAGGCTTTAATTGAAAATTAACTTCAGTTGATTGACTTCATTCAACATTAATTGTTCACCTGAAGAATAACAATATGCGCTAGTAAAATAAACCTTGTGCAGTTTTGTAATCCTTCAATCATCATAACCATTTAATCAATATGGTTTGGATTTATCACAGTGGTGACCTGTAATCCCCTCCTGGCCCCTGCAAATAGCAGTTTGGCCTGTGCTGATCCACTGGGAAAATCCTCCTTCCGTTCTTCTTGCAATGTTACCTGTGATGAGGGATACAAACTAAGAGGAAGAGCCGCACTAACCTGCCAGAGAGAAGGCAACTGGTCAGCACCATTGCCTGTATGTGAAGGTGGGATACATGATTCCTCAATGTCATACTGAGCTACTGAATCTAAATTTTTAACACAATGTGAGCTCTGGAGAAACTATGTACTATTAAAATATACTATTTCACACTCTAAAATCTCTGTTTTGTTTGAATCATTTTGTCAGTGGTAAAGTGTGACTCACTGAAACCCATCGCGAACGGCTCCTACCAATGTCATGACTCTGTCGATGAGTTTTCTTATGGCTCCACTTGTTGGTTTAAATGTGATTCTGGTTTTGTCCACAATGGTACAAATTCCACTCACTGCACCAAACAGGGGAACTGGAGTCATATATCACCTATTTGTCATGGTATCGTTCATTATTCACTGTACTAAGATATCTTCAGTTACTGTAAGTTCAACATATTCAGTTTACCATGTTTTAATTCTGGATTCCCCACAGCTGTACAGTGTCCTCCTCTCTCTGATACACCAAAATATGGAAGTGTGAGCTGTGTACACCCCCTGTCTACCAATAGCTACAACTCCAGCTGTGAGTTTAAGTGTGAGGAGGGTTTGGTGCTCAGAGGCACAGATTCCACTCATTGTGATCACACTGGGCACTGGACAAACACAGCACCTATTTGTACAGGTTTGTTATCAGTTCTTATCATAATGGATGATGTAATACCAATGCATATGTGGAATATTATTATTTAGTTTGCATAGAAAGCTATAATTTTAAAGCATTGTTCACGCAAAACTGAAAATTCAGTTTGATTTTACTTTCTTCTGTTGAACACAAAAGAAGATATTATGAAGGAAACTGGAAACTATTGACTTCCATAGCATTTGCTTTTCTAAAAATTCTTCTTTTGTGATCAACTAAAGCTAGAAACTCATAAAAGTTTGCAACCACTTGAGGGTTAGTAAATAGTGAGTACATTTTCTTTTTTTTAGGTGTACTGTCTCTTTAAGAAGTTTACATTTATTAGGCATTTTATATAGCAATTTGTGGAATTGGTTGACCCAATTATGCTCAATTTATATAGTTGTGTGTATCCAAATTGACTTCATGGTTTACTTCTTTAATGTCATAGGAAGGGGGAATGTTTTAACTCAGTACATTATTTCACTAGTATAGATAATGGTAAAAATTAATCACTGATATCATATATATTTCAGCTGTTGCTTGTGACCCTCTCGTGACCCCTGTGAATAGCAACCTGACCTGTGCCAATCCATTAGGGAAGTTCTCTTTTCGTACTTCTTGTGAGGTTATTTGTGAGGTGGGATACAAACTCAGAGGAGATACAACACTCAACTGTCTGAGTAATGGCAACTGGTCAGCACCAACGCCTGCATGTAAAGGTGGGGTTCAGCGGGTTTTAATCAATCATTTAAATCAAATAATCACAATCACTGAAATGTCATGTTATGGTATGAAACTGAATGAAACATAGTTCTATCATTACTATTGCAAAAACATTTGAGTACAATCTTAGAGAATAAGTGACAGAAAGAATTGACTGTAGGAGCATTGTAATACAACATCAGTTATTTATATATCTAAAATGTATAGGGTACAAAATAGTTCTCGACAAGACTGAGTTGTTAATAAATCCAAAATGTATAATCTCCTCTTGCAGCAAACAAAATTTCTCGACAGAGTGACGTCACATATTTACCATGAAATAATTATTAACAGATTGGTATAAAGGCATGTCCTCATGCTGTTTTCCTCTTTTCAGTCATAAGATGTGAAGCTCTGGAGTCTGTTCATCATGGTTCTGTACACTGTCATGACCTGCTGGAGGAGTTCAGCTATGGCTCTGAGTGCTGGCTTGAGTGTGAAGCTGGATTTACTTTGAATGGAACTAATTCCACTTACTGCACCTCACAAGGGAAGTGGAAGCAGGAGCTTTCTGTCTGTCAAGGTAAACAAACTCTTGTTACTCTTAAATAAGATGGTTAAAAGCAAAACAGACCTTATTGTGCTATTAAATCTTGTTAAATGTGAACAACACCACAAAGTTGTAACCTAATTGCATGGGAATCTGAGAAACTTGGGACTTTATTTCTACCCCCAAGTTGGGGGTGTGTCTGTGAGAAGACTTGCCGGCTGCACTGCTTTTTTTGTATGCTTTTTTGTTGTCATTTATAATAAAACTGTCATAATATATTTAAGCCATTAGCCATGTGCCCAAACATGCTAACCATGTGTAAACATGTTCAAAAACAAGAGCATGCTAGCAAGATGCATATTTAGTAAATTGCTAAATAATTCTAAATGTTTTGAAACATTAAGCATGTGATAGAATGTGTTAGCAAAATGGTAAAAACATGCTAGGTATGTGCTAAATCATGTTAACAACATGCCAAAATATGCTAGTCAACATTTTTTTCTGTCTGTCTGCTCTTTGTATGTTTCCTGCTTACCCATGCAGGGCCAGTTTGGGCATAGTGAGGGCTTCCTGGGGGATAAGTGAGGCTTACCCATGCAGGGCCAACTCTAATGGGCCAACATTTAGCCATTAATTAAACTCTCATGAGCCTGCTCTGGGCTCGAATGAGCTAGCCAACACTGATAACATTACTGAGCCTGCAGCTCTGGGCTAGCCCACACTGGGCCAGGTTAGATTTGGTGTGAGCTTGCCATAGCCTGCAGGGCCCTGCACGGGTATGTTTGTTAGGTTAACTCTGCACTATCATACACTTTTTGTAATATTTATTTCCTTGAAGAACTTTTTACATCCATGGAATCAATCTTTTCCACAAAAGAATGTAGCCTACTATGTTCATTAAAATGTTCTTCATTCTAAGAAAAAAAATATTCCCAACTATTAATTATTCATTATTATGTTTTCACAAAAATTCAAACAAGTATAAAAAAGCACAACCTTTAGCACTGCTATATTCATAGTAAGATTTCATGGACAGTAAAGTCGTGTCACAGATCTTCTGATTCTCTATCCAACAGCACAGCAGTGCAGCTCATTAACTGACCCCTCTCATGGTAGTTTAACCTGCACACATCCCCATGGACAGTTCAGCTTTGGTACAGTGTGTGAAGTAAGCTGTCAGGCAGGCTTCAAACTGCACGGCACACCCAAAATGGAGTGTTTGGAGATGGGGAAGTGGACAGACACCCCACCCTTTTGCTTGGGTAATCACTGATGACTCTTCCCCTTTTTCCATTGCACATCATCATGTATATATTCATTGTATACCTTGTAATAATTTCTGTCCCCTTAGTAAATGTTAAAATGTTACATCTAAACTTCATGATATGACCAAGTCAATCAGATTATATATGCTAACGTTTAATCATGTTATTATTTTTTACATAGCTCAAGAGTGCCCTCTTTTGAGCGCTCCAGAAAATGGCTGGATGAATTGCTCTCATCCTCACTCTCTGTTTAGCTATGAATCCCAGTGTCTTCTGGGGTGTGAGACTGGCTTTGAGTTAACAGGAGAGCCAGATATACAGTGCTCAGCTTCTGGGAACTGGAGTCAGGAGATGCCTTCGTGTGCTGGTACTTGACAAACACAAAATTATTTGGGAACCATTTCTTATTAATGAACATTCTTAACAGTATAACTAAACTATACAAGTTATATAATCTTTTCCTACTAAAAAAACAAAGTAAAAATTGCTTGCTAGGCTTTCCCTATTAAATATGCACTGATATTAATGTATACATATATATTTCTCCTTTGAATGTCAGTTGTTCATTGTGAGCCCCTCTGGCTTACTCATCTTTCTGATCTGGGACCTCCACCCTCAATGAACTGTTCTCACCCCCATGGAAACTTTAGCTTTGGATCTCAGTGTATGTTCTGGTGTGCAAACAGTCATGAGCTCAATGGAACCAGTCAGCTTGTCTGCACCTCCAATGGGTACTGGACTCATTCACCACCCATTTGTGTTGGTAAGTCCAAATTCCCCCTGAACCTAAGTTATTGTATGACCAGGAACATATCAATTTGAACAGGCAATTGAACCAAGAGTGAAAGCACTCTTAAGGGCATAGTCCACCTAAAATTGAAAATTTCCTCACCATTTACATTTAATAGCTTTACTTTTATATCACTGCTTAAGCCATTCAGTTTGGCTTATATTCACATGTGTTTATATAAACTCTTTTATTTGAACACTCTTTGATGTGAATAAATGAACGATTTCAGCATGCAGTACTAAGATCTTGAAGGAGGTGGGGCAAATTAAATATTAGAGAGCATTGGATTAGTTAGAAAATGTATGAGTATGAGGAGACCTCAATAAAATGATTGATTCCTTTCGCTGGAAGTGCCAAAGTTATTTAATTATGCTACTTATTTGCTTCCATACCAAACCAATGCTTTGTGAATGTTTATTTCTTCAAAATGAGACGTTTGTCACTGTTTTGGAGCACACTAGATTATAGTAAAATATATTATTTTAGGACTAACATATTGATACTAAAACCTAAAAAACTTTCATTTTGATGTGATGAGACTAGATATTTGTAAGGATGTTGGGAAAAACAGTCACCGATATCCATAATACAAACAAAAGCTGTTTTCCCCCAATATTCGTCAGTATGTCTTTCTTTGTGTTCAACAGAAGAAAGAAACTCAAACAGACTTGGAGTAAATGGAAGGGAAGATAATAATGGCAGTACTTTTGGGTGAACAATCCATTTAATTGCACTTACAAAGGATGTTACTAAAATATTTTGTGTTTCCAGTAAAGGAGATGTCAGTGAGTGCCAGTATGCTGATATATGCTGCTGTGGGAGCTGTTTCTTCAGCTGGTTTACTTTTACTGGGTGGACTTATATTTTTGTTGACTCGCCAAATCACCAAAAAAGGTATAAAATAATTCCATTCAACTGTTGGCATAATTGTAGTTTATTAGCATTTGGTAACAACATTAGCTGGTTGGTATTTAACAAAAAGCTCAATACTGCTAGCAAAACTGTTTGTAATATTTATTTGGGGTTGTTGTAATAGGCTGGATCAATTATGTTTTGATGTAATGCAACAAATATCAATATGTATTTCCAGTTTTTCACCCAAAATATTTACTTGTTTTACTCGTATAACTTATAATATATCATTTCATTTTTATATAAACTTATCATTTCCTCAAAAAACTGTAGAGAGGAACACGGGAGGTAGAGAAAGCGTTTTTATCTAATTCTATATAGATCGGCTATGAAGCGCATGTTTGTATCAATGTTTGTATGTAATGAAGAGTGCTGGTGAAATGGTTATTTTGACATGGATATAGTAATTTGCTAAAAAAAAAAAAAAGATTATTAGTTTTAATGTCCACCTTACAGAATGTAAAATTGTGATCAAAATTAAATCTATGTCTAAGAAACTCTGAAGATGGGTAAATATCATTAAATATTTTAATGTGTACTAGCTTTAGGAGATATGGGGATGGAAAGAAACATCGTTCTTAATTCGATAATAGAGCTAATACTAGCTTGTATTGGAAGTTTATCCTGGGTTAATATTGATCTTATTAATTTATTAGGCCTTTCACTCTGAATAAAATCTGGTCCATTCATCAACAAATAAGGCAGATGAAGGGTGTCATTTACATTGATGACCACATTACTAACCATCAATAGAAATGCCCTCGGAATAGATTTCAATACCCTATTGTGTTGCTGTGATCACATTCAAAAGTACATTTTTCACAAACATTTCTGTGGCTCAGAACCTCGCCCTCTCTGTCTAATAGATGGACAACCGACCAAACACCTCTAATGTTTGTAAGAAAACAAATACCTATTGTTCCAAATTGGTGAACGTGGGGAAACATTATGTTTGGAAATTCTTTATGCTTATAAAAATATATATATACTTATGAAATTCTGATCATTTAAGAGCGAGTTTTTGTATTGAAAAATCACAACGTAATAAGAGATCTATTCCACCTACACTCTAAAAAATATATTTTTATGATATAAAGCTATAAACTATTATCACTAAGCAAGATACCCCCATCTTTATAATACTTCGTTATTGTTTTTTTTTTTTAGCATAATGAACTTTTCTCTTCCAAATAAAATTATAATTCAACTGATTAATTAAATAAATCTTCTTGTAAAAAAATGGGAAGGGAACTAGCAGGGTAAATACTTCTAGAAAGAGAGTCCCCTTTGCTAATAAAAAATTGAAATGTTTCTATTTCTACAAAAATGTTTCTGTTTTTACATTCAGAAATTCTATTAGAAATATTAAGTGTATCACTTAGTTCTTTATCTTTAGTGATTACAATGGCAAGATATTTAATAGTAGATTTAACTGAAATAATGCAAATTTGAGTTATTAATAAAAAACCCAATAAATGTTAAAAATAATTCAACAAAGCACCAAATATTTTTATCTCAACCAGTTAAATAATAACTTAGCGTTTTAAAGAGTACTTTAAGTATGTGTGTGTTTTGTTGTTGTTGTTTTTACAGTGGGCATCAATGGTTTCTAAAACTGTGGGGTTATCATTTTTCCCAAATTAAAAGCTAGTTTTTAACATTATATGGACAAGTAAAAGATGAAAGAAGGTTTTGTCTGTTGAACTAATTCTTTAACTAGCATCATTTGTTTTAACAGAATCCTAACACATTTTTTCTTCTCCCCTGCAGCTCATTACAGTCTGAATAAATCCTCATTGGAAGGAGACTTAAACCTGGCATTTGAATTAAATTAAATCTATGTCAATTCCTACTAAATGAAATTGTTCATGTTGTTTTGTACTTGCAATAAATGAATTAATACGTGAATAGATTTGTGTTGTCTGTTCGATATCAGCCCATGTCAATAGTTACTTTCACAGCCTTTATACTATTTTATTTATTATATCTATATATTTTATTTATACTAGTTATAATAGGGTGATGTGCAGGGTCATTCTTCATGGCACTCTCACTAGGTATGAAAGAGACAGTATAAACACTGCCAGAAACACCATGTTGTCCAACCGCTCACATACCCACTGTTTCATATATAGCCTCAGCCTAGAGCAGACACCCAGGCCATGACATGCTGTCTCTGGGCCCTATGCCCACTGTCACACTCAATACGGCCTCTAGTTGCCCTTTCACAATGTTCTTTCTATGTGAGAGGCTTTAGGGTCAGAAGCCGGAGAGCAATCGTTTTATTTATTTATATTTTTTGTAATGTTTTGTGTTGTTTACTATTTATAAGATATTTACCAAAAACAGAAAAAGGTACAGAATAAATGACATTAACCATTAAAATGCTAAATTTCCAAGAGTCTTAAGATAGGTCCCCATGTGGTTTCAGCTTATTTCTGTGAAGTTTCAAGGTATAGTTATTTCATTTGAATGACATAAAGCAACCCGTTCAACCATCTCTTACAACAGGGAGTCTTTGGAGATTTCCAATCAAGTAAGATCATCTTTTTAGCTGTAATCATGCCAACCATAGGGCTTGCTAATGGAAATGTGTACATTATTTTAGAATATCCAAAAATAGCCAAATTGTAGTCAGGTTGGATGTTGGTTTTATAAGCACTGGAAAACAATTAAAAAATGCTGGACCAAAACCAAAATAAAGAACAGGACAAAACCAAAATAAATGTGCCAAAGTCCCTTCTGCCCCACCACATATCACATTTAGGAGATACACAGGGAAACATTTTACTTAATCTAGTTTTGGAGAAATGAAGGTGATGTTAAACTTCTAATTAGATTAATTTGTGTTCCGAATTTATTTAACCTTTCTTTATTGTTGACCGGACTTCTTCCCAGATCTCATCAGCCACTTCTTCATTCAAATCCATGGCCCAAGCTGTCTTAATGTACTTAGTGCATATTGGTGCCTAAAAACACAAACAAAGCTTGAAATCAGATGTCTAGTGTTAGGGTTTGAGAAAAGAAGATGCTAAATACTATGACTTTCTGGTTTATTTAGAAATTGTGAAATATTTTCCTGTTCAGATAGCGAGAGAAATGAGACTATGGGAGAGAAAACTTATCCTTCAGCTGTGCAAGGGAATGCAAATTGGCTGTAAAGATCCCCTATGTGAAAAAGCCCTTTTCTTTAGCAATAATTTCATTATAGATATCAAACATCTGATAGACTTTTTTTTCTTTATTTACAATCAGCTGCATGGAGCTCCAGGGAATCAGAAGCCCTAATATAATTTGCAAACAGTATTTGGCAAATACTCCATTGTGTATTTGTGTTTGTTTACAATTATTTCGCAGCAGAGGTGTTAAATGTACAATGTGTACAAAATGTACAATCAATCAGAGTGCAGGATAGAAAACATGGGTATACTGGCATCCCATATACTGTAGGTTTTGTCTAAGAAATATGTAGTATATATGTGTATAAAGCATATAAAGTTCTTCACTTAATAGAATAAAAGTAGGATTTCTCACTTACTATCCGAAGATGTAGTGCCTAAATTGTAAGGAGTCGCCACAGTGGAATGAACCACCAATGATTCATACTCATTTCACATATTTTGAATAGCCCTTCCAGCTGCAACCACAAAAAAAGTAGGTTATTAAGCTATTTATGTATTTATTTATTTATTTTATTTAATTTAATTTAAGTAGCCTATTTTAGCTATATGCAATTAAGTGAAATATAGTGAGTAGGTTGTGTTTATTTTTGTTGCTGGTCAGTGAAAGCTCTCCAGAATTTCAGCACAGAAGGAGAGGGTTGCATGTGTGCCTAACCAGTCGCATCTGTCCGGGCATTAACACAGCACGACGCCAATTATATCGCTTAAGAGGGAGCGGGTCTGCAGCCCATCCTGGCACGAAATGGGTAATAAATAACTGATCAGCTGACTTGATGCCTCCTGGCTGCTATCGTAATAATAACGAGGCTATTGGTGCCCGCTGTGACTGTATGATAGCCGTTTGATTATTTTCCGTTTGCTTTAGCCTGCCAACGTTTAGTATCGCGCCAATAAACGCACGAGAGACAGCGCGTGCCAGTGTGGTTTTACGCGAATTAAGGTGCCATGGACACAAGTTAATCCACACATATAGGCCACAGTCAGATATGATAAATGGCAATGTATGATAATTTAACGAACACGTTCATATTTGGATTTCAAATTATCTCTCAATTGCAACACACTCACTGGCCACTTTATTATGTACACCTTACTAGAACCGGGTTGGACCCCCTTTTGCCCTCAGAACTGCCTCAATCCTTCGTGGCAAAGATTCATCAAGGTACTGGAAATATTCCTAAAAGAATTTAGACCATATTGACATGATGGCATCACGCAGTTGCTTCAGGTTTGTCAGCTGCACATGCATGATGTGAGAATCTCCAGTTTCATGACATCCCAAAGAAGCTCTATTGGATTGTGCTCTGGTGACTGTGGAGGCCATTTGAGAACAGTGAACACATTGTCATGTTCAAGAAACCAGTCTAAGATCCCGGTAGATCAGCAGTTTCTGTGGTAGATCAGATGGTTGTGCATGAAAATCCCAGTAGACCAGCAGTTTCTGAAATACTCAGACCAGACCGTCTAGCACCAACAACCATGCCACATTTAAAGTCATTTAAATCACCTTTCTTTAGGTCGCCTTGACCATGTCTACATGCCTAAATGCATTGAGTTGCTGCCATGTGATTGGCAGATTAGAAATTTGCATTAACGAGCAGTTGGACAAGTGTACCTAATAAAGTGGCCGGTGAGTGTATTTCTAAATGTTGAAAAAATGCAATAGATAATGGCAAAGATTCCACTACTGGAATTACAATTATGTAGTCTTCACGTTCAAATATATTAGGTATGACTTTAAATATGTTCATGGCCCTGTATGAGCAGACATTCTCACACGCTCCAATTTCATTTCTGGATATCTGGATCCAGACTTGGATTTGCTTGCTGAGACTAGACAGATTTCTCTAGGAGATAGCATAAAATAATTGTTTCCATACTTTGTTCAAAATGTTGCATTATTATTAATAAGACTTGCATTATAAAGTGTAACGCACAAAAATAAACAAAAAGCCTAATCACCCAAGACCAGTTAACATTTCTACAGCATAATGCCATCAGAAAACATTTTAGCTGAAATTGTTGTCCTAGGTTATTTGTAAAATGCAAGTCAGCTGCTATCCAGGCATCACAAAAGCATGTTCATTATGATGTTTGTTTACAATGAAGACGGAAATCACTTGTGTTATATTGTTCACATAATACATCATTCTGCTTCTACTAGATGCTGTTAGCCTAAATGATAAAAAAAACAGTGTCAGCTGCTCTCATGTTTTTTGCATAATATGTATCTCATGAAGCTCCTAATCCACGCTGTTGGAAATGTGTTCAGGCTAGGCTGTGAATTAAATGTTGCCAATAACATTGACTTTCTTAAACACCAATCATTTTGGTTCATAAACCTTTATGGTCAAGAACCACAAGTACTAATTTGGTTTTCCTGTGCACTTTGTTGACTACCAAAGTGCTGCTTCATTTGTATTATGAATCTCCAAACACCAGCTAAAAAGCATTCCCCAATGAGGAAACATATTATTGAGTGTGTGTTTTTTTACAGCAAATTTTAGGTTTTTGAGTGAAATTTTACACTAACTTCTAAAATATTTAGCTACAGGTTTTTATGAATATACAAATCAGTTCTGAAAAAAAAACACTCATTCATTTATAAATATATAGTTAAAGTTTGATTCATATATTATCATTATATGCTATTTCTTATTATTTAGGGCGAAGCAGTGGCGCAGTACTGTCGCCTCACAGCAAGAAGGTCGCTGGGTCGCTGGTTCAAACCTCGCTCAGTTGGCGTTTCTGTGTGGAGTTTGCATGTTCTCCCTGCTTTCGCGTGGGTTTCCTCCGGGTGCTCCGGTTCCCCCACAGTCCAAAGACATGTGGTACAGGTGAATTGGGTAGGCTAAATTATCCGTAGTGTATGAGTGTGTGTATGAATGTGTGTGTGGATGTTTCCTAGAGATGGGTAGCGGCTGGAAAGGCATCCACTGCGTAAAAACTTGCTGGATAATTTGGTGGTTCATTCTGCTGTGGCGACCCCGGATTAACAAAGGGACTAAGCCGACAAGAAAATGAATGAATGAATGAATGAATGTTATTATTTATTGGAATAACCTGAACTTGAATGAATGCTCTGCGACCTCCATGCACTGACAGATCCACATGACAGGAACAGACAGTTAAATTGTTCCTGCCCACTGACTTGTGGCTCTTACATCTGGAGGTCTGATATCGAAGGAAGAAATGTGAACCTGCTACAGACAGAAGGAGGGTTCATTGCTGGGCCAAAGAGGCACAGTATGAAGGGCTTCCTATATTTTTCAGCATGCCTTGCATATTCACCTGACATTATCCCTACAGTACAAAACACCAAACTATAACACTGGCACATTCCAGAGGGGCAGCAATGATCTGGCTTTTTGGGTGGTCACATATGAGCCCTTGAGATAAGCAAGAATGCAGGTCGGATATAGATCCAGGGAAGAAAGTCACAATATAGGCATTTATAAGAATCCAAATGTGAATATTTATCAGTATTTCTGATGCTTAGGTGTGAGTGGAAAGATCTAGGTGATGATATGCCATGTGGTGGACCACCATCTGCCTCTGGTAAACTGCCATAAAGATATGCATCATGATAGGAGGTGCTGAAAGCCTAGACTGCGAATGACCTTGAGTCTGGAAAATGACAGTCTTCGTTGCTGCAATAGAGTATGTGTTATTGCGGATACAAAGACTTTGTTATGAGTTACATGCAACATATATTAATATATAAAGCTGAAGTAGAAATTATTAGCCCTCCTGTGAATTATTTCTTTCTTTTTCAGACATTTCCCAAATGATGTTTAATAGAGCAAGAGATTTTTCACAGTATTTCCTACAATGTTTTATTTTTTTTAAATATTTGGGTCCCAGTATTTCAAAAAAACTTAATCTGAATCAAATTGGTCCAGATTTGGAAATCCCATGTTTTGCTATCCAGGATTAACTGATCTCTCTTACTTTTATGACAGTTTTTTTAAAGGAACATTGGGTTGGATCACAGTGATCCTAATACCAAATTTCAGGATTACCAAATCCTGTTTACCAGAGCCTTAAACGGAACCAACAGTATAGTGTACTTGCTTAGAAAAGAACAACAGGTAGGCAAAATACAGAGAGGGGTCTGGCTGCAGACCTGGTGCAGTGCAATCTGAGCTGCATCCAATGCTTTTTAATGCACTCACCTAACCCTACCCCTAACCCTACCCATCCCTGTGAGGTCACTCACTCCATTCAGTGCATTGTGTCTGACATTGCATCGCTAAGTGATGCAGTCTCAGCTTGCATCATAATGGCTGCATTCAGATAGGCCTACTATTGAAAATACCACTGACCACAAACAGCCATTGTTTGTTTTAATGGTAAGAAACAGAAACACTGCAATCAACAAACATTTGACTTTTTGTTTGTTTGTTCTAATGCAATACTGTTTTGATATTGTTTTGTTGTTGTAGACCATATATCATTAATGGTGACATGCTTCATATAGGCTTCAGATATGAAGGAATTTATATAAGTTTGTGATCATTCATTTAAAAAAAAATTGTTTTTGTATGGTTTATTTGGTAAAAAAAAAATTAAAAAAAATGAATCCACCCTTCTGGGATCAGGATAATCTTGTTATTTTGGATCAAATAGATCCCAGTTTAAGTTTAAAGGTTAGAATAACCCAGGGCAGATTTGATCTGAAAAAAGGGTAGATTTGATCTGAATCAAATAAGATTGTATTACATTGTCTGATCTTAATTCAAAATCCCTCTGTTACTTTTAATCTTACAAGATTTGACCCAATCCGATTTTAGACCCAATCTAAAACCCCACTGGATTAATTTTGAAATTTTAATTTTTTTCAAGATTTGACCCAATCTGGTCTAAAATCCCACTGGATTACTTTAGAAAAACTGGGCCCTGATTAAAGTGTTATTTATTTCATTTCAGCTAGAATAATAACAGTTTTTAATAAAAAAGGTAAGCAATAGCTTTTCTACAAAAAAAAAATCCCCAGTCCAATGACCCAATTACCCTAACTTGCCTAGTTAACCTAAGTAACCTAGCTAAGCCTTTAAATGTCACTTTAAGCTGAGTACTAGTATCTTGAAAAATATCTAGTCAAATGTTATTTACTGTCATCATGGCAAAGATAAAAGAAATCAGTTACTAAAAATGAGTTATTAAAACTGTTGTTTACATTTACATTTACATTTAGTCATTTAGCAGACACTTTTATCCAAAGCGACTTACAAATGAGGACAAGGAAGCAATTTACACAACCAAGAGCAACAATGAATAAGTGCTATAAGCAAGTTTCAGGTCTGTAAAGTCTAAGAAGGGAAGTTTTAGTAGTATTAGTATTTTTTTTTTTTTGTACAGTTAGTGTGATATTCAGAGAGGCAATTACAGATTAGGAAGTGTAGTGGAGACTAAATAGTTGAGTTTTTAGTCGTTTCTTTAAAGTAGCGAGTGACTCTGCTGTTCTGATGCAGTTAGGGAGTTCATTCCACCAACTGGGCAGATTGAGCGTGAGCGTTCGCGAAAGTGATTTCTTCCCCCTTTGGGATGGAACCACGAGGCGACGTTCATTCACAGAACGCAAGTTTCTGGAGGGCACATAGATCTGCAGAAGCGAGAGCAGATAAGAAGGAGCAAGGCCAGTAGTCACTTTGTAGGCAAACATCAGAGCTTTGAATTTGATGCGAGCAGCAACTGGCAGCCAGTGCAAACGGAGTAGCAGCGGAGTGACATGTGCTCGTTTAGGTTCATTGAAGACCACTCATGCTGCTGCATTCTGGAGCAGTTGAAGAGGCTTGATAGAGTTAGCTGGAAGCCCAGCTAGTAGAGAGTTGCAGTAATCCAGTTTGGAGAGAACAAGAGCTTGAACAAGGAGTTGAGCTGCATGTTCAGATAAGAAGGGTCGGATCTTTCTGATGTTATAGAGTGTGAATCTGCACGATCGAGCAGTTCTAGAGATGTGGTCAGAGAAGTTTAGTTGGTCATCAATCGTTACTCCAAGGCTTTTCACCATTTTGGATGCAGTAATGGTTGCCCCGTCCATATGGATTGAAAAGTTATGGTGTAGAGTCGAGTTGGCAGAAACTACAAGCATTTCCGTTTTTGCGAGGTTCAGCTGAAGATGATGATCTTTCATCCAGTGTGAAATATCCAACAGGCAGGCTGAGATGCGAGCTGGAACCGAGGGATCATCAGGATGAAAAGAGAGGTATAGCTGGGTATCATCAGCATAGCAGTGGTAGGAGAATCCATGTCTCTGGATGACTGGTCCTAGAGATGATGTGTAGATGGAGAAGAGAAGTGGCCCAAGAACAGAGCCTTGAGGTACCCCAGTGTTTAGATGCTGTAGGTTGGACACCTCACCCCTCCAAGACACCCTGAATGATCTGTCAGTGAGGTAAGGTTTAGAAATGTGTTGAGAATCTCCTCTCCGTTAAATACAAATTGAAGAAAAATATACAGGATGGCTAATAATTCAGACTTCAAATGTATATGTGCATATCACAGTGAACAATATAGAAATATGTTGCACTAGAAATATATTAAAGGGCAACTTTAATGAAATCAATGTTTGTAATAAAGACAGTAAAATCGCTACGTAATTCTTAATCGCTATAATCACCGCGGCCACATGGTACTTGTAAACAATAATATTTGTGTGTGTTCTGTACACAGCATTTGTGTGAGACTCATCATTTCAGAAAGGCTTGAATAAACTATCACAAACACATGAAATAAAATTAATTGGTATTTTTGACTAATGACCTTATTTCAGCGTCATCTGTGTCTGTCTCTATCACTGACTGCTGTTTATCTGATATAACACAGGAGAAGCAGACACGCATTAGGGAGCAGTGAGCTAGGAGAAGCAGCTCATTTAGATTTAAATCATCTGATAAATATGTTCTCACTATAAAAAAAAATTTCCAGAAGTATTTTAAAGTTATTTTTTCCACAGATCCATATGCCAAAACAGAACAATCTTTTTTTCTGTGTGTTCTGTACATTTGCTGTCAGTGAATATTTAATTCAGCAATTACAAATGTACATTGCAAATTTTACATTTTTAATTTTTTTTTTATAAATCAAACTCTGAACAAAAACACGTCATGAGCATTTTATTGTAATTCAGTCAAGATTACACACATAAAAATAATAAATACAAATTAAACAAATAATATTTATCACGGTACATTTCCTTTGTCGCCAATCACAACCATTTCTACACTAAAACATGCATAAGCAGAACATATACAAGCACGCGTATACATTCACCCACACACACACACACACACACACACACACACACACACACACACACACACACACACACACACACGCTCCTTCATAAATCTTTAATGAGCCGTCAGAATGATGCTCAAGAGGCGAAATACGAATCTTGCATTGAATACAATCGGTCAATGGGTGTTAAAAAGGAAAGTTCACTGGACGACATACAGTCTCCAAAATGACACAGAGGGTCACTGTCTGTTTCATCATAGAGTGTATCACAACCTGTAAAGAGACAAATGATACTTTTTTAAATGCCTATTTCCAGCACAGCATTGCTGTGAGTCTATAATGTGTTATTTAATACCATAGGGATGCATGTGGTCTCCGGGCATCTGAGGAGGGGTCAGGCCCTGTCTGAAGGGGTCCAGCTTCAAGCTCTGTGAGTCTAGACTGAGATTCTGCTGGGGAAGTGGATATGAACCTGCACATTCCAGCTCAACAGGCAGAGCTCCACAAGAGGTCGCTGTGGGCATACAAAAGACAACAAAATGACTTGATGCAGCAGCTTTACTTGTATATAATGTCTATATCGTCAAGCCCGAAATTTTGAATAGTTAATTATGGGGTAGGAATAATTTCGAGATTGACTGTTAGTGATGACTTTAAGTTGTACAGGATTTTAATTTATACAACTGTTTAGGCCCGTAACCAGTCTGGTAAGAGGGGAGGTTATTTTCTTTTAAAATATGGACCTTTTGCAGTTATTAGCCACATTTTCCATTTAATTATGAGGTTTCGATACTTTAAGCACATTTTTTGCTGGATTAGCTTGTTGGATGGTCCTCAACCACACTTTTTGATGTACCAAAAACATTTCCAAAATATTTAGAAGGAAACAAATAGAATAATACTTATTTTCAAATACAAATTTATTAGAAATAATAAATTTATCACATTTATCTCTTCCCTGTCCACCTTAACAAACCTCAAAAATGGCCTATTTATTTGGCCCATTTTATGACCCTTTATGACTAATGATAAAATGAACCATTGTTTTAATTAAATAGGCAAAGTGTGTTAATCATATTTTTTTCACTGATTATCATTTGTTAAAACAAATAGTCAATTTGTGGTTACCAAATACTTTTTTATTTTGTAGTCAAATATATTTTTGAGAGAAGCAACATTCCTAAAACTTTTCTGCAATCACATTATTATTTTCACTGAATGGCTAATAAACTTTAAAATATAATATATCATGGGGACAATAGCAACATGTTCTTAGAGCCTTTGTTGATTGGGAATATTGAGTAAATAGCACTGATGAAGGGTGACCTGTAGCTTTAAATGTGGGGTTTAAATAGGGGATAACCAAAGTGTGAAAATACCAGTATGTTGTTGTGATGGACTCTCCCTCTTCTCCTGTGGGCACACAGTTTGCTTCTGCTGCTGTTGTCTTCTCACCAGTTTTTTCATCTGCAGAGACAATGCGATTCCCATAACAAAAAATATCCAGGATCACATATTTAGTGTTATGCATAAGTTTTGAAACCTTTTGCAAAAGCTGTGAAAATGTGAAATTTTTTATCAAATAAACAAGATTATACAAAATGCATGTTTTTTTATTTAGTACTGTCCTGAGTAAGATATTTTACATCAGATATGTTACATAAAGTACACTGTATTGTTTTTTCTTATTTTGTTGAAATACAACTTTTGATTCCATTTAACACTGCTCTTCAGAAGCAACAGAAGACACTTGAATGCTTCCCGGAGGACAAACTTCAAAATGTAAAAACTTTTCACCGTCAGATCCTAATGCATTCTAATCTCAGATTCATTCAGTCACTGCTAGAAAGGGTTTACGTATGCAAATGTATCTACTGAACATAGAAGAAGAGCAGCCAATTTAACTGCAACAAGAGACTTAAAAAACAACCATTATGAAGCAAACAACAACCACAGATCATTCATAGGTAAACAGCCACAGAATTAAAACCTTTTTTAAAAACTAATTTTAATAGTAAGCTATTTTTTTGTCTTGTGAACTATTCATTTATTCATTTTCTTTTCAGCTTAGTCGCTTTATTAATATGGGGTTTGCCAACTTATCCAGCATACGTTTTCCGCAACGGATGCCCTACCAGCTGCAACTCAGTACTGGGAAACACCCATACACACTTATTCACACACATACACTACAGACAATTTAGCTTGCCCAATTCACCTATAGTGCATGTCTTTGGACTTGTGGGGGAAACCGGAGCACCCGGAGGAAACGCACGCAAACAGGGGGAGAACAGGAAAACTCCACACAGAAATGCCAACTGACCCAGCTGAGACTCGAACTAACGATGTTCTTGCTGTCAGGTGACAGCGCTACCCACTGCACCAGTCTATTTTATGTAAAATAGCTACCACAGCACTTTCCCCTCCCTCTAACATTCCCAAATAGTAGCTTTTGTAACACTTGGCGAGACGTTTAATTTTATGAAATTGAAAATCGTGTGTTAAATACATTTTTTTTGATTTTGTTAAACTAGAGAAAACCCTCAATGCTGGGAAATATACACTCTCATTCAGACATTTAGTTTACCTGAATTCACCTATACTGCATGTTTTTAGACTGTAAAGGAAACAGGAGGAGACGGGGAGAACATGCAAACTCCACATCCTCCACATCCTGGAGCTGGGACTTGTACCTGCAACCTTCAAGCTGTGTGGCTACTTTGTCACTTTGCTGCCTGCTAGATATAGTTTAATGATCTAATGATCTTGAATATATATATATATATATATATATATATATATATATATATATATATATATATATATATATATATATATATATATATATATATATATATTACATCCGTGATGTTTTGTGAATATTCATTTCAATGACCTTTTTGGGGGTTTGAGTTTAGTGTAAGTTTTTGAGTCAAGTCTGCCCGTTCACATACATGTCATAAATTATTTTATCACTGTTCTGTTTTTCTGTATCTTTAACTGCAATTGTGAATACTGCAGAGTTGCAAACAATAAAAATAATTGTGTATCTATCTTACTCAGGAGTGTAACTGATAAAAAACCACTTATTTTGTGTACATTTTTCACATTTTTGCATGACGTTTGCATAACACTGTAAGTAATAAGAGAAAATATCCTTAAAAAATGCAGAGGAAGGCTGAAAACACACAGCGCTAACCCTGAAAGGAAATCCAAGTCTAATCTAAGGTTATCTATACATAATATGTCATCGGTTTCCTACGTGAGGCAATAACACAGCTTGTTTCCTGATTGGCAAGCTGGTGTGCTGCAGAAAGAGGTCTGTTATCAATTGCATAAGTTGATGTTCTTTCAATGAGTGTGTTTGTCTGTGTCGGCGGGCATCACGTTACCTTGGCTCTTTGGTTCTGGAACCAGACCTGAACGACTCGTACGCTCAGTCCTGTCTCTGCTGCCAGAGTCTCCCTCACCTTACAATAGACAAACAGACAGAGACTGAGCCACAGGCTGACCTTCATGGTCTGTGGGTCATGTAGGCTAACTGATGAACTGACCCGCACTGGAGTATCAGATCAACAACAGATACAGTTCAGACCAGCTGCAGCTGCACAAAAACTTCCTTCACAAATTTACAAAAGACATGCATATAAATGTATATATAACACATCATATATATATATATATATATATATATATATATATATATATATATATATATATATATATATATGTATATATATATATATATATATATATATATATGTATATATATATATATACACATACTGCTCATTAACACAAATTTCTAATCAGCCAATCACATGGCAGCAGCTCAATGCCTTTAGGCATGTAGACATGGTCAAGATGATCTGCTGCAGTTCAAACCGAGCATTAGAATGGGGAAAAAAGGTGATTTAAGTGACTTTGAATGTGGCATAGTTGTTGGTACCAGACAGGCGGGTCTAAGTATTTCAGAAGCTGCTGATCTACTGGGATTTTCACGCACAACCATCTCTAGGGTTTACAGAAAATGGTCCAAAAAAGAGAAAATATCCAGTGAGCGGCAGTTCTGTGGGCACAATTGCCTTGTTAATGCCAGAGGTCAAAGGAGAATGGCCAGACTTGTTGGAGCTGATATAAAGGCAACAGTAAGTATTAGGTGGATGGGCTACAGAGGCAGAAGATCACAACGGGTGCCACTGCTGTCAGGTAAGAACAGGAAACTAAGGCTACAATTTGCACATGCTCACCAAAATTAGACAATAGAGGATTGGAAAAACGTTGCCTTGTCTGATGAGTTTAGATTTCTGCTGAAACATTCGGATGGCAGGGTCAGAATTTGGGTTCAGCTACTTCCAACAGGATAATACGCCATGTCATAAAGCACAAATCATCTCAGACTGTTTTTTTTAATACGACAATGAGTTTACTGTACTCAAATGGCCTCCACAGACACCAGATCTCAATTCAGTAGAGCACTTTGGGATGTGGTGAAACGGGAGATTTGCATTATAAATGTGCAGCCGACAAATCTGCAGCAACTGCGTGATACTGTCATGTCAATATGGACCAAAATCTCTGAGGAATATTTCCAGTACCTTGATGAATCTATGCCACAAATGATTAGGGCAGTTCTGAAGGCAAAAGGGGGTCCAACCCAGTACTAGTAATGTGTACCTAATAAAGTGACCAGTGAGTGTGTGTGTGTGTGTGTGTGTGTATATACTGTATAGTGGGTCTAAGTTGTGGAACCTATAGGCAAAGTTACAATTTATTATTACTATTATTAGTCCTCCCAACTTTCTCCTCATTATTATTAATAATTATTAATATAATTATTATTATTTGTCCTCCCAAATTCCTCCTCATTATCATTATTATTATTATTATTATCATTATTATTATCATCATCATTACCATGCACCATTTGTTATTAGCATGTCTTTTCTAATTATTGTTGTTGTTTTTTTGTTATTAGCATGTTTTTTCTAATTATTGTTGTTGTTTTTTTGTTATTAGCATGTCTTTTCTAATTATTGTTGTTGTTTTTTGTTATTAGCATGTCTTTTCTAATTATTGTTGTTGTTTTTTGTTATTAGCATGTTTTTTCTAATTATTGTTGTTTTTTTGCTATTAGCATGTCTTTTCTAATTATTGTTGTTGTTTTTTGTTATTAGCATGTTTTTTCTAATTATTGTTGTTGTTTTTTTGTTATTAGCATGTTTTTTTAATTATTGTTGTTGTTTTTTGTTATTAGCATGTTTTTTCTAATTATTGTTGTTGTTTTTTTTGTTATTAGCATGTTTTTTCTAATTATTGTTGTTGTTTTTTTGTTACTAGAATGTTTTTTTCTAATTATTGTTTTTTTTGTTATTAGCATGTTTTTTTCTTATTATTATTAGCATTATAATTATACCTGTTGCTATACATGTTTTACATTGTATGTTCCTTTCCCTAAACACTTTCACCCTTCTACCTAGTCATAATGCTTTTGTTGGCTGTTTGTTTTGTTTGACCTTGTTTTTGTATATGATTTGTTTCCTGTACATTGTAAACTCGTATTTGCAATTTTAAGATATAATTCGACAAAAATGGAATGAAATAAAAAAATAAAACAATTAGTATTGCAAGAAAAAGAGTTGAGAAAAGTTTATGTCAAACAACTAAGACTTTTATTTTCAAAATTGTGACTTCTCATTAGTCTTCCTCATGGGTTTGACTGTATTTCATAATTGTGTGAATAAATGTTGGAGTTGTGAGATAAAAAGTTACAATAATCTTATTTTTTATGTGACAGAAACAAGCTTTTACAATTATACATCTGATTTTCTGACCTTTCGGCAGGGTTTGGATGAAACCTCAAAAGAAGCTTTGAAAGCCCGTCTCTGTTGTGTTGTCAGGATGGTACGAGGTCTTTTAGGCCTCTTGTGTTCCACGTCTCCTGTTATGTTTGACTCTCCTGCAGTCTTCAAGTTGTCTTCATCATCGTTGTCCTCCTCAATATCCTCACTTTTACCTGTGATCCAGGAAACAGATTTATATATTGTGCATAACAATTTGAGTTAAAGTTGACAAGACTTCAACTAAAAAATTTAGGAAAGCATTTATTTATTTTCCTTCAGCAATAGTCCCTTTATTAATTTGGGGTTGCCACAGCAGAATGAACCGCCAACTTATCCAGCATATGTTTTACGCTGCGGATACCCTTCCCAGCCCAGCACTGGGAAACACCCATACATTGTCGCACTCACACACATTTACAGACAGGAATGAATTAGACATAGATGTTAGACATCTATTCGATTTTCAATGACAGTCCAAATTGTTTTAGCCAAGATGTTTGGACGTCTATTAGACATCTATTAAACACAAAATTGATTGTTTTTTATTTAAACCACCAGATCATTAGCAGAAGAACTACAACGTTGGGAGTATATCCGATAAAAAAATGACATGCAAAATGAGCAAGCAACTGTGTTTCATTAGGAATAGCACAATACCTGAGTCAGAGGAGGTGGGACTGGCCAGTTGGTTGTGGAAGTGTGTGGCACAGAAGAGGCCGTCTCCTCGGAGCACACAGTGATCTCCCTTCTGCAGCCGGCAGCCGCACACACAGCAGCAGAAGCAGCGCAGGTGAAAAACAGCAGAGCCCTGTGCGCGCATCACCAGCTCAGACGGAGAGATGATCTCTGAGCAGCCCTGACACCGCACCACAAACAGCCTGACAGGACAAAACAAAAGAGCAGTTCGTCAATATACCTGTTGTTCATATTTACACAGTTAAAGTCAAATAAAATTAGGCCTACTGTGAATGAACTTTTCTCTTGCAAAGATTTCCCATATGATGTCTAAACAGAGTAAGGGATTTTCACAGTATTTCCTATAATATTTTTTCTTCTGGAGAAAGTCTTATTTTATTTCGGCTAAAAGACACAACAGTTAAAGATTGTGCTCTTTGACTGTGATGGAAAAAAATTGGAATAATTAGGATTTTTTCATGTTTTTGAATGAAGACTTAAACTTGATTTTAATTCCCAATTTTTTGCACAAAATTCACTTTTAACGTCCCAGCCTGGTGAAATTTGTTATCCACATTCCTACGTCTCTTTGGGTAAAAGCATCTGCTAAAAATAAATGCAAATTCCAATCTAAAAAACAGCAAAGGTTAAAGTAAAATGCAACATATAGCACAATCGCTGACTAAAGTAAATCAGTGAATATTTAAATACTAAACGGCAATAAACAAACAAAACAAAACAAAAAATATATAATATCAGTCAGACAATCTTTATTAAAATGGGAAAAACCAAGGAAGAAGCCACCAAAAAACAGTAAAAAAATGAGATATATATATATATATATAAAACAAAGGCTTCTTTAACTTCAATTTTAATATATTTTTAAAAATGTAATTAATTGATGTGATTGTCAATGCATGTTAAAATGTTGCATTTCTGTTAATATACTGTACAATTTCTAAGATACTTTAACATTTTATTAATAGCTTGAATTTTCTTAAATTTCTCTTTTCTATTTTAATTTATGTTAAATGATTAGTAATTTTGTTGTTTTAGCATTGATTATATATATATGTCCAATTTATATATATGTCCAATTTAACTAAATCAAAAGTTTTATTTAATGAATTTCAGTTAATGATTATTTCACTTATTTTATATCAAGTATCAAAACCGGTCTTAGTTTTATGGTTTACATTTTAGTTTACCAACAACCCAGAATTATATCTTTAGTGTACTGACACAATGATCAAAGGGCTATTATTTAAAGAAACTGTGTTTGATTAAATATTTTTATACTGTACATGATTGAAATTAAAAACAGCATTAATCTTTTGTAGCATTAATGCAAGACACTAAAGTTAAGATTTCACCATAAATTCACGTTAGTGTAATGTCTTTTTTTCTTAAGATTAATCAAATTTTTATGACAGTTAACAAAGAAAAGTAACAGTGAAAATACCAGTACAAAAAAAAAAAAATAAATAAATAAATATATATATATATATATATATATATATATATATACTGTATATACATGCTGTGTATATATATATATATATATATATATATATATATATATATATATATAAATAAAGGAGTACAAAACTGATTAAAACTATAAAAATAAACCACTCTGTAATCCCCATATTGTGCAACAAACAGTATATGTGCATAAACAATATATGATGTGCATTCAGAAAAAAAAGGTACACATTTATACCTAAAGGGTACATATTGGTACCTCAAACATATCGTCTCTTTAGAATTATAAGGTTCTATCTGACATTTTTGTCAAAATTGAGTTATTGACATATTCTTATTAAATGACAACTTATTTACATTATGGGATGTTTTTTTTAAGTTGTTACATTTTAAAACTTTTTATTAAGAAAAACAAATGTTACACACATACTCTTTGCAAATAGAACTTTATAACTCCAAGGTGACATTATTTATTTGAACCTAAAAGTTTTAAGAGGAATACTTTGTACTTTCTAGGTACTAATATGTATCCTTGAGCTATTAATAAGGACCGTTTAGGTACGAATTTGTATACCTTTTGAAAAGGTACCGCAACCAGTTTGAGAAAGATATAACTATTGGAATCTAAATACAGATGAAAAGATAAATACAAACACTGTATTTTGCTTTTTTTTTTAGACTAAAAGAAGATATGCAAAGTCACACAAAACCTCAGTGAGTTTGCCCATAGTGTCTCACATGAAGAAATAACCTGTCAGTCTTCATCTGATGCTGTCACACCTCTCTGGAAGCCCTCCTGTCAGATCCACCCTGAACCGTAAACCCCAGCTCTGCTCTCTGCCCCCCTCCGGGCGCGGAAATCTCAGGCCAGTTTGACAAACAGAAAATGTGGTGTCTGCCAGGGCAAGACAATGGCAGCGAGGCTCAGGGCCAGCTCCCTCTTTTGACTGGGTTTGGTTAAGTGGAGTTAAGATCATTCCCTGGACCGCCGGGAGGCCTGATTCTTTCCCTCCGTCTGGAGCCACAGCCTGCAGAGCTTCTTTCTCCCGCCGCCCCGGGAGTCCTGCCCCGGACACAGTGCTGGAGCCGGACGCCTCTGTCTGACCCGCTGAAGCCCAGCTCTGGTTGCCAGGCGCTGAGATGCACACTCAGCCAGCTGGAGGTATGTGTCTGTGCCCCTGTTTTCGCTCCCGTCTCACTTCTTGATGGACGGGGCGACTCAGCAACATTCCTGGAATCTCTGATGCTCCACAACCGGTCAAATGTTTGGGATATGATTTTGTGAAAGATATTGAGATGAATAGGAAAAATTCAAAAAGAAATGTGAGGAAATATTTTTAGAATTCAAAGTAAGTCTTTTGTTTAAGCATATATTAAAATGTACTTATTTTTTTGTGATGTAATGCTGAATTTTCCATATCCATTCCTTAGAAGTCATTATCAAACACTATGGTACAAAATGCTGTCACGGGGGAGTAATTTTTTTAAGGGGAGTACCTAAAGGATCCAAACTGGTACTTTAAATGTATATTTTTGTATCCACTGTAATCTCAGGTATCTCAGTATCTCCATTGGGTGCAGTGTCTTCATGTACAGAAAAAAAATTCCATCCCAAAGCCTTGCATTGTTGAGGACTATTAGTGTTGCTCTGGAAACTGAGAGCTCTTTTGGGTTCAGCAGAGGGACAGAAAAAAGTGAATTCTGTACTCCATCATAAACAACAACACTATTGCTGTTTGAGCGTGAATGCACATTTTTGGAAACTGCAGGTTTTCTAAACTAAAAAAATAACAGTTCTTTAAATTTTGCCCATGGATCTTATGATTCACAGACATTTTCTCTTTCTTTGCTTTTAAATTGCATTATACACTGTAAAAAAGTCTTAATGTATTCCTCATTTATTTATGCGTTTTAATTGCATTATGGGATCTTGATCTTTCTTACACTTACTCTTAACCTTGAAAAGTTAGAAAAAGTTAGTTTTGTTAACATTTTTAATAGTTTAAAGTGATATATTGTCTGGGTTGGTGTTCTATATTATGCACTGTAAAAAATGCGCAATTTTACGGTTCATTTTTGAGTAGCTGGGATGCCAGAAAAAAGACGTAAAATAATGGCTGTTAAATTACAGAAATTTACTTTAAAATAACGAACATTAAATTACAGAAATTTCCTTAAAGTTTTGGTGTATTTCTGTAGTTTAACCTCTGTTATTTTACAGTAAATTTCTGTAATTTAATGGCCGTTATTCTATTACCTTTTTTTAGGCACCCCAGCTGCCGGAAATAAACCGTAAAATTATAGAATTTTTTACAGTGTGGTACAAAAACCTTGTAATAAACTGCAAGTACATTTATATTATTACCTTTTATCAATATAATATTTCTTATACATTATATTATTTCAAATTACTAAAGTTTGGTTCAATTCATCTTTATTTCTAAAGCACTTTTACAATGTAGATTGTGTCAAAGCAGCTTAACATAGAAGTTCTAGTAAACTGAAACTGTCAGTCCAGTTTTCAGAGTTGAAATTCCGTTTATTCAACTCAGTGTGGTTTAGATTTAACTATGGTATTTTTAACACAAATAGAAGTAATAAAATAACTGCTGGCAAGTAGTGGCAGTTCATTACTTAGTTTTTGTACTATAATTGACATAACCAACTCAGACATATTGTTTCAAACTACTATGGCAAATATCTGGTGTTATTTCACCCAAAAATAAAAATTGTTAGGTCTTTAGGGTGCATGTTTACTATGGGCAATATGACATATTCCCATTAGAGTCAAAAGTGCAACACACAAGCATATTATTGCGTGTAATAAATGCACCAGGACTTGCAGATTAAGAGAAAACAAAGTCATTTTGCAGGTTTGTTGGCTCACAAAAGTGTTCTTAAAGCTTCATATAAATATATTTCATTCACTGAAGTCTCGTGGAATGTTTTTGGTTTCTTGATTTTGAGTGTGTATGGAGGATGACAGAACTCTTAGATTTCATCTAAAATATCTTAATTTGTGTTCCAAAGACAAATGAAAGAGACCTGAAATGACATGAGGGTGAGTATAACAGAATTTCCATTCTTTAATAAAGTTTAACAACAAAATCATCTTTCCAATTATCCTGATTGTAAGAAGTCACGGGGTGTTTTTCCATTTCTGTGCTGATGATTTGCTTACACATTAAGAGAAATGACTGTCTCGCTCTTAGTATCTTACTAAGGTGCTTAGAAGAGATTAAAATTAACATTAAAATTTAACATTAAATAATGACAGGACAGAGGTGGTTGTTTTCAGCCTTACTGATAATATTTAAGCCACATGCCTAGATCTGGGCTGCTTCTCTGCCTTCAGATCACCCAGTGTGTGAAATCTGGGTGTCATCCATGATAAGTCACTGAAACTAGACAAACATATCAGTTCGGTTATAGGCTTCAGTTTTTATCAACTCCGCTTGCTGTCTAAAGTCAAACATTTCTTTAATCTCACCACACTAGAGATGGCGGTCCATGCTTTTATTATACGTCATGGTTAGACTACTGCAATGCACTTTACTGTGGCATTTTAAAAAAAAAATCACACATTTCTCACCTTCAGTTGGTCAAAATGCTGCAGCTAGATTCATTTGTAATAGCAGGAAACATGACCACATTACCCCTCTTCTAAGGGGCCTCCATTGGCTGCCCGAGCAATTCAGATTGATTTAAAAGTGCTTTTACTTGTGTATAATACCCATCTCTTAGAGCTGTTGCACTTTTACAGTCCCGTAAGATCTTTTAAATGAAGTGATCAAATTCTTCTTTTAGTTCCTCGGTCTAGACTGAAACGAAAGGACAGAGCTTTCTCTGTGGCAGGTCCTCGGTTTTGAAAACTTTGCCCCTTGAGATTAGAATGGCTCCATCAATATCTATTTTTAAATCACTCCAAAAAAATGTACCTATTTAGCTTGGGGTTTTTTTTATATTATTTTAATAGTCCTGTATACTGCTTCATTTTTAAATGTATTCAGGCGCTTCTCTTGGCTTATTCTCATTTTTTTTTATTCTTTTTTAAATTTTCTTTGTCTTTTGTACAGCAGTTTGATCAGTCCAAAGTCTTTGTTTTTTTGTGCTTTATAAATAAATGAACTTGAACTTAATTGAGAATCACTTAAATATTGCTCTATGTTCTCTTAAAACAGATACTGATCAAGAGTCTGGGGGATCATTCTTGCAAATTCATCAGCTACAATCCTCTAATTAAAGTCTAAGCATCACTTTGAGTCCAAATCAAACTGATCACCGTAACAAAGCAGTGAATTATCTCATAACAAAGCAGCCTGCTGACCCATTTCCAATAAAGCTGCTCCTTAACCTGGTCAGTAAGTGCTGGGTCAGCGAGCTCCACACCCCTCTGCACCACAGTGAAGTACTGGCCTACTGGGTAGAAGTGCCAGCCAAATGCTGCGTATGTGGCTAATTGGTCAGGTCAGATATCTCACGCTCGGACGGGCATCAAGCAGGGGCACCGCTGGGCACCAACCTATCCAGATGCCTTGACATACTTCACACACACAGCGATCCCCGCTAGATGAACCCCCTCCTCAACACACAAACACACTCATATTCTCCAGCGCGAGGCTCTTCTGCACCCACAGCATATGGTCCAATCCTCCACTCAGCCTCAGTGCTCTTATTAAAAGCACAGTGGTCACTTCACAATCATTATTACTTTGGCTGATGGACTCCTAATGTGAGATGCACTGCAGGATTAGCAAAAGGCAGAGGTTTTGTTGAAAATCTAACCAGATACGGAAATTAATTGTATGGGAGGATACTTAAGCCAGCTTCAGTTTCCCCCACAGTCCAAAGAAATGTGCTAAAGGTGAATTGGATTAACAAACATTGGCCATAGTGTATGAGTGTGTGTCAATTTAAGACTCTATGGGTGTTTCTCAGTACTGGGTTGCAGCTGGAAGGGCATCCACCGCGTAAAGCATATGCCAGATTAGTTTGCAATTCATTCCGCTGTGGTGACCCCTGATAAATAAGAGACTAAGCCAAAGGGAAATGAATGAATGAATGAATGAATGAATGAATGAATGAAGGATACTTCACCAAAAAATGACACAGTTCTCTCCATTCACTCAACCTGAAGTGGTGACAAACCTTTCTTTTTTCAGTTAAACACAAAAGAAGATATTTTGAAGAATGTTTGAAACCACTAACTTCCATATAATACAATAAAAGTCAATAGAGTTTTCAACATTCATCAAAATGATTATATTCCTTAGCCATCAGAGAAAGAAACTTAAAGAGGTTAGAAGCAAGTGGAAGGTGAGGGGTAAATAATGGCAGAATTTTCATCTTTTGGGTTAACTTTCCCTTTAAGAGGTTGAATCACTCTCAGATGGTGATCAGAACTCAAAAAGGGCAATACTTCATGACGTTTAACATTAAAGTCATCTTTCCAAATATTCCTGGCTGGGAATCACTGAAGAAATACCCTCCATGGAGGATGATGTCATCCTCCAGCAAGACATCCTATTCATGATCAAAAGCTAGGTAGGCCAGATATCACAATCATTTTGTACTGCTGTTGTACTCCACGGACAAAAATCATAATAACACTATTAGTATTTTAAAGTTGCAATGAAATTAATATTTGTTCTTCTTAATTTTATATTTATATAGTAGGGCGCCACGGTGGCGCAGTGGGTAGCTCGATCACTTCACAGCAAGAAGGACGCTGGTTCAAGCCTCAGCTGGGTCAGTTGGCATTTGTGTGTGGAGTTTGCATGTTCTCCCCGTGTTCGCGTGGGTTTCCCCCGGGTGCATCGGTTTGCCCCACAGTCTAAAGACATGCGGTACAGGTGAACTGGGTAGGCTAAATTGTCCATAGTGTGTGTATGTGTGTAAATGAGTGTGTATGGATGTTTCCCAGTCATGAGTTGCAGCTGGAAGGGCATAGGTTGGTGGTTCATTCCACTGTGGCGACCCCAGATTAATAAAAGGACAAAGCCGAAAAGAAAATGAATGAATGAATGAGTTGGCGGTTCATTCCGCTGTGGCAACCACAGATTAATAAAAGGACAAAGCAGAAAAGAAAATGAATGAATGAATGAATGAATGAATGAATGAATGAATGAAGTAGGCGGTTCTTTCCGCTGTGACAACCACAGATTAATAAAAGTACTTAGCCAAAAAGAAAATGAATTAATTAATGATTGAGTGGAGGGTTCATTCCAATGTTGCGATCACAGATTAATAAAGAGACTAAGCCGAAAAGAAAATGAATGAATGATTGAATGAATATAGTAGTGCTTGTTATAAATGATGTATCTGTGCACTTAATTTAGCCTCATAATCTTTTAACAAATGCCATAACCTTCCCTGGCCCCTAGAAATGACTTTTCTTAATTTCTGGTCACATGGCTAACAGAGAGTTTCTTGTTTCTGCCGTACTTTTGTCCATTTGTTAATCATTAGTCATTTGTCATGTTATTAGCAACATTTGTCCTTCAACAGTCCAATCAGTTCCTAATGAAAAAAATTATACACCACCCCACATTTTAACACTGTTTTAATTGGGTGTACGTCACTATATGGGAAAAAAGGACAATCTTACAGTAACTTCCATTTCATGACAACTTTAAGCACTTTTGGTCCATTTACCATGTCTCCATTCATGTTAACTCAACGTTCCAATGAAATAAATTTACCATCTTAAAATTAAAGGTTCCAAAAAGGTTATTCTGCAGTAACGCCTGAGAGATAAATAAATAAATAAATAAATAAATAAATAAACTTTTTGGTTCATTAAAGCAGTTTTTTATCCGAGGCACTGAGATGCCCAGGTCAAGATTGACGTATAGTTGGTTTTATATTCACACATTCATTCCTTTTTAAACAGTGACAGTTTGTGACTTGCTACTTTGAATATTCATCCTGAAATCGCATTCAAGTATGACTTTAAAACAACATTAGCACTATATTGACTGTGAACAGTTGTACTTTGATAGTCATGGGCTGCTAATAAGATTTTCCTATGTAGAATTATTTTCTGAAATTATAGTATTAAGGTGAAAATCTGAATGTGTGATTATAAAACCAACTTTAATTAGAGCAAGAAAGTGTAAGGGGGTCTGTGGAAATGTTTGGGGGATAGGAAAGTAGTCTAAAATATAAGTGTTTATTTAAAAAAATATTAATAAATAGCATAAATAGCGCATATAGCTTAATTACACAAAAAGCTTAATAATCAAATGCTAAAAGGAAAATTCACCTCAAAATGAAAGTTCTACTTACCCTTCACTGTTTCTAACCTTTGGACACAAAAGGAGATATACTGAAAAAAAGCCGAAAACCTATATTTCCCCTAGTATTTTTTTCCTATGGAAGACAATGGATGCAATTTTTTAACTTTCTTCAACATATTTTCTTTTGTGTTACAGAAAAGAAACTAAAAGGTTCAAAAACCACTTCAGGGTGAGTAAATAGTGAGTAAATGTTCATGTTTGGATGAACTATTCCTTTAAGGTAAATAAAAAACATACAGCATTTATAGGCCTGGATAAAAATAAGATTAAAATAACTTAATGATTCCAAAATAATACAACAATAAATTAATAGGCTATGAGATTCAAACTGATTGATAATACATAAACAAACTAAACACATCAAAAATAATTTATACAAAACAGACTACGTTGGTCAGGTAAGACGCCATATTGAATTCTGCACGCCAGAAGCCTGGCTTTCTCACCTGTCAAAAATGAAACGCACCTTTACCTTTACTAACGTCGATCACGCTCGGTCGTTTGGCAGACTTTTTCGCATTTGGAGGTGAGAATGTGAATCAGACTGAGTTTTGGGGTAGCCGAGGGGGTCCGAGCATCGTGTCGATGTGGCCATATGCTGTCCCCAGCTTGCCGTTGCCACGCCGATGGGTCCTGCTAATTTAACACATCTTGACAGCGTGTCAGTAGTGCTGTCCTCCTGATCTAACCGTGTGTGTGTTTGTGTGTGTGAAAGCCGCCTCGCATTCCACGGCCCACCGCGACCCTTCCTCCTGCAGTCACCTTGTCTTTTTTCAGGACTTCCGTGCCAAAGTCTCCCAATACACAAAACACAACACTAAGACGAGGCCGAGGATCCATTTTTGAACGTTTATGCTAACAAGCGTAACAGGATAATTTTATATCAGCAAGTAGGCCTATGTAGTAGGGAATTTGTTGCCTATTAAAATTATGTTGTGAGCATTAGGCAAATTTAATAGCAAGAAAACATCAGTTTGCTGCATACAAACATTACAGTCATCACTGCAATTTGTGGTGCAAAAAAACAAAAACTTTAAATGCTTAAGCCTACTTTAAATGTAGCCTATATTTAGCCTAGGTATTATTATTATTATTATTTTCTTTCCTTATTTATAACGCGTTATTTCACAAAACATTTTTGTTAGCCTTAAATTTTCAAAGGTTAATATAAACCTTTAATTGGTCTACCAAATGATTGACCCTATTTTAACTGTTTTAAATAATGGTTTACACACAAAACATTGTTAGTTTACAAAAAGGAAAACACCCTGTTGCACTACTACACTTAATTTTGGTTTTATGTTAAAAAAAAAAAAATAAATAAAAAACAGAAGAAAACATGTTAAATGAGAATCTGAATTATTGTATGGCATACTTCAAAAAATAAAGATGATTTAGTATTTAAAAATGTTAGATTTTTAATGTATTTTAAAAAATAAATTGGCCTTACACTTCATATTTTCATATTTTTTTATGTATGAATTCCTTTTTTACCATATAGCCGACATAATCCATTTTAATATTGATATTTGTAGGAGGTGTTGGGAAAAAATGCTTTGAGTGTGTTAACTAGCGACATTAGGAATTAAGAAATGCTATCCAATTTATTTTTCTTAGTGGGACAGTTAAAAGGTTAATATAACAAGATGACTGTTATTATGACCAGTTAATTAATAATTTTTTGGACTTTCTATAAACACTCTTTAAAATAAAGGCTCCAGATTGGGGTTTTCGCTGTGAAGGCATTAAAATAAAGTTTTGCTTTTCCGTGAAAATTTTCAGTCATCAAAATAGGCTAATATAGCCTATTTTTTCTTACAGCGAATAATTTATATCGATTTATTTAAAGTGCAAGTTTATTTAAATGTAAAGTTTTAATTTATTTAAATTTAAAATTCAAAGAATCTGCATGGCACTATAACTGCCGAATAAAATAAAACTAGAACAGAAAAAAAGCAACATAATATTTCAAGCAGTGATCTTGTGCAAACACATTTCGTTTTTTAAACTTTAGAATTTGATAAATTTGATTTAAGGAAAGTAAACCACGGTGTCAAAATATAATCTTTATAAGCTACTAGGCAAAACACATAAGCTAGAACTTCATGCTAAACTTAAGATAATGTAAACACGTTTAGCATGAAATAAACTTTTTACTTGTGGACTAACATCACACACTTTCCGTGTTGAACTTCAAGGACAATTCATAAAACGAAATAACTGTTTACATCAGTAAATTTGAGCTTACTTCTGGTAGTCTCGCTTGCAGTAGAGTGTTTTATTGCGGAGAAAGCAGGTGTCTTTCAGAGGCTCGCGACATGATGCGCAGTGCAGGCAGCGCTCGTGCCACAGCCCGTCCTGCACGCGGAGCAGGTACCTGTCCCGGATGAGCTCATTACACCCCTCACACACGCTCTTTCTCCACATGTCTGCAAAAACGACAAACGTGTCATCCATCTGGCACATCATTATCCAGAGAGTCATTTAATGCGCATGTTGGACAAACGAACTAAAGTGTATTTTACTTTTTTTAGGGCTTTGAAGTTAAAATGATAAAATGATAATTGAAGTTAAAATGATACCAAGACTGAAAAATACCAAAAAATAAAAATAAAAGCACGATTACAAACTTGAATACCCTAATAAGAAAAAAGGAATGCTAAAATAGATCAAATAGATTAGCTTAATCAAACGAAAGCTCAACAAAATAACAAAAAATAAAAAATTCAATTATCTTTTTTTGTGCGACATCAAAATAGTCAAGGTGCATACCATTACTGTCACATGTAGCCTATATCAGCATGCTTTTATAAACACTAAACGACACTAAAAACTTTCAATAACACATGCACCTACCATTTAAAAGAATAAATCCAATTTCCTGTTGTAACTTCCGATGGCACGTCAGACAGTTGTAAACGCACACAAAAGCGCCATGTGAAAATAAACCTGAAAGACATATACTCTCTCTCTCTCTCTCTCTCTCTCACACACACACACACACACGCACACATCTCTCTCCTCCCATAAGCAGGTGGAGTGCGCAATACAGCCATTAAACTTATGAAGTCTAAATAGCCTACATTTAGCCTATTCATTCGTACCTTTATTAATCAGAAGTCGCAACAGCGGAATGAACCGCCAACTTATCCAGCATATGTTTTACTCAGCGGATGCCCTTCCAGCTGCAACCTTTTACCGGGAAACATCCATACACACTCATTCACACACACACACACGCACTATGGACAATTTAGCCTACCCAACCCAATTCCCCTATACCCGGAGGAAACCCATGCGAACACAGGGAGAGCATGCAAATTCCACACAGAAACGCCAACTGAGCCGAGGCTCGAACAAGCAGCCTTCCTGTGAGGCTACCAAGCTATCAACTGCGCCACCCGTCTAAACATATAAACATCTTTAATTGAACAAAACTATATACAAAATTAAGCATGACAAAAATACATTTGGGTATGAAAAGCCCCAAATGTAGGCTAATATAAGATTTCAGTTGCATAGCTAATAAATGCTTATAAAAACCTTAATTTGCGTAAAATTTTAAAACAGTAATCAAATTTTTATTTATTTTAAAATATTAATTTTTACCCAAATTGAAATTCATACAACCCAGCATTTCTAGAGTATAAAAACATCAATCGTAAAAGCCTATCAAATGATTTCCTATTTTCTCCGATTAAAAAAGCCTATTGAATGGATTCAAATGTCTTAACGTGATGTCCTGAAAAATGACATTACAAAACAACTACAATGCATAACAAATAGGCTATGTACATCTTCCATTCATTGTATTTTTGTTCTGTAAAACATGACGTTTCAAAAAGCTGAAATAAACATTAAATTTCTTGAAAATAAGTCAACTCTACAAAAATTGGGCATCTATTGCCAAGTCATTTTTGGGTAAAATATGGACAAACCTAACAGCTGGGTTAAAAAAAATGAATAAATATACACTGGGTTAATACAATTAAAGTAGCATTGCCCATACTTATATGTACAAAATTAATTGAAGCCTATTAGGCTACAAGCAACTCAACACAACATATAGCGATCCTAAACAAAACAAATCCCAAGTATATACATAAAACTCCTATTTATAAATGTCATATTATTGTGATCATAATTTATTTACATTTCAAATCAAGTTAACTGAACAAGTTGGCTAATTTTCCTATAAGCTTGATCGCTTTTAATATTTAAAGCTTAGGCCTAACCGATTCCACGCAACATGTATCCTAATGGAGCTCTACACCTCACGTACATCACAATGTGTCCCGTTTGCAATAATAAATTGTAAATATTAGTAATTTTCAACATTTTAAACACTATCTCTGTACATTTTGTACATCTTAAACATTTAGATTAAACATGTTGTACATAAATGTACTCTAATTACGATATACATATTTCACACACACTTCTGTAAGAAATCTACTTCTCCATAGTTCAAATTATGTACCTTCAAAACAAACCACAGCTAAAAAGCAGAGTACACGTTTCTATCGTATAATAGCACCATCTAGCGGGCGATAGACAATGCAGCAGGCGCAGCTTTTCTCCAAGTGATAGCCTATTCAGTGCAGAGCTACTTGGGCAGAGCTGAGCTCCAGCAAGGGAGAGCTCTTCTTTTATCTGTAGTTTATGGCTTAATTGAGATGCTATTTAAAATCTTACAGCACCACCTACCTCATTGAGTGACTTGCTCTTTAAAGATTTCTTATTCTGGTGGGAAAAACAAACATTCGATAGCTTACTTCAAGTAAAAGAAAAGGACACGTTTCTTCATTCGTTTTTTTATTCAAAAAACACAAGAAAAACGATGACGTAACATTTAAATATTTAAATATTTATTCAAACAATTCTAAACTTCATTTTAGAAATTACTGTTCGGGTTTGATACGCATATTCCTTGAATAAAATATAAATTTTTGCATTGTCTTGCCACAATGGATACCTGGACATTACCTATTTACAGAGACATTTCTTTTCAGAACCATACCAATAACATTTATTTTATCCTTATATATTTTGAGACTTCCTCTTCGTCTTTTCCCTGCCAATATTTTGTCAAATAACAATTTGTGCTCAGTATAAAAGATGCAGCATCCTACAGTATCTTCAATCAGGTTCATTATTATATTAGTTACATAAGAATATGTACAAAAAATGGTCCATTAGAGCTGGTGTCACGTGATCTGATGTGGCGCTTCCAGCATCTCCATGAGGAAAGTGTCTATAGGTGTGTCTCCAATCAGCTTAAAGAAAAACAGGTGCTCCAGACACTTGAGGCCGATGGAGCGAAGCGCAGGAAGACGCAGCAGCAGCTTAGCAAACCTTTAGCAAAAAAATAAATAAAAAAATCAACTAAAAGTTATCATCATACTTCAGTTGATTGCTTACATTAAGAATATAATGTCATTTACTGCAAACGTTCATGCTGTGTTCATATTATTCTGATCATAATTTATTTACATCATAAAATTGGATTAGCCTATATGAAACTAGGTATGGGCCGGTATAAGATTCTGACAGTATGATAACTAGGGATGTCCCAATCAGGTTTTTTTGCCCTTGTGTCTGAGTCATTTGATTTTGAGTATCTGCCGATACTGAAACCTGATCTGATACTTCTATAATACATCCTGGATGTTGCTTATGTTTTATTTGATTCATCTTATTTTAACATTCAACAACTCAGTTAACAGAGCACTTCTGTGAGGTAGCTTGAACAATCAAATAATAAATAACATCAAACAGTAATCAACAGTAAATCAAAAAAAAAAAATCGAATAGAAAAACAAATACAACCTCAACTTAAAATACCCAGCAGGCAATTGCAAGTTTACATATCTCACAGTTTGCTGTGGCAATGTTGTCGTCACTTTATAATACCTGCAGACCGCAGACATACTCGCGCTTTCAAGCTACTCCCATGTTCTTCTTTGCCGGCATTTAACCAATATCTATCTATATATACTGTATATATATATATATATATATATAGAGTTGAAGTCATATTTATTAGCCCCCATTTGATTTTTTTCTCTTTTTTTTTAAATATTTCCCAAATGATGTTTAACAGAGGAAGGAAATGTTCACAGTATGTCCGATAATAATTTTTTTTATTATAGAATAAATAATTAGATTTAATTTTATTGAATTTAAATAAGTTTTTAACTTTTGGAAAACCATTTTAAGGTTAATATTATTAGCCTCTTTAAGCTATATTTTTTTTCCGATAGTCTACAGAACAAACCATCCTTATACAATAACTTGACTAATTATCCTAACCTGTCTAGTTAACCTAATTAACCTAGTAAAGCCTTTAAATATCACCTTAAGCTGTATAGAAGTGTCATGAAAAAGACCTAGTAAAATATTAATTACTGTCATCATGACAAAGATAAAATAAATCAGTTATTATAAATGAGTTATTGAAATATTATGTTTAGAATCGTGTTTAAAAAAACTTCTCTCCATAAAACAGAAATTGAGAAAAAATAACTCAGGGGGGCTAATAATTCTAACCTCAACTGTATTTATACACGCACACATATGTATTTTTGTATTTGAGTCTTGATCGGGAGGTAACGTCTGTTTCCGATCAAGTCTGAAACTGCGTAATCGGATCTGGACATTCCTACTGATAAAGCAAGATACTTGGATAAAAAGCAAGTCACTGCACTGTTCAGGTCTACATGCTGGTTTATAAGAGATTTGTTTTTCAAATGTTTCCTGAATCAAGGACTGACTAGTGGCTTTTGATGTGGAGGGTCCTTTTGTACTATTGCCCTAAAAAACCCTCAATAATATAGTTGTAAAAAAACATGTAGAAACAAAATGAACAAATACCTTAGGAACGGTATAAAAGAAATTTTAATGGTTTTAAAACCCTGACTTTTAAAACTGTGCTAAACCTTAAAACCAGTTATCGTCCCATGCCTATATGAAACAGCAAAATCAAGAAACTATTGATTTGAAGCTTCTGGTTAACAGCTTCTACATCTAACAAAGATCTTATTATTAAAGCTCTACACCCCACCTCCTATACATTACATTAGCTGCGTTTCCACTATCGCGCCTAAAGCGAGCGAGCCAGGGCGATTCAAGGCCAGTGGCGTTTCAACTGTCACTTCCGGGCCCTAATCGGGCCAAAGCGGGGCTTTCTTGGGGCCAGCGGCTGGCCTTTTTCGGCCCACCGAATACCTTGGGCCAAAGAGGGCCAGCCGGGGCTTCGGGCGGAGTGAAAGGAGAGGCGGGCACAGTTTTCCGATCGCACACGAGTACATGCGCCAAACACATAACATACAAATAAATAAGAGAAAGAAAACATCTGGAACAAATTATAGGCTGGGGTCTTTTTTGCATATGATCGCCCTTATGTTTCTCTTTTAAATGTAAGGTTGTTGCATTGTGTCCCGTTTACGCTAATAATCATTAATTGTAACTACTAATTGTAATATATTTATTTCACATACTATCGTAGGTTACAATTCAAAATGACTGTTAACTCCTCATGTGAAGCTGTGGCAGGACTAAGGGATCAAGAACATGTTTTTAGGTGTAACAGCAGTTTGTGAGTATGCCACCAGGGGGCATAAAAGGTTGGGATGCAAACGGACAGAAATATACAGTACTTGTAAATGAAGGTGAAATAACGAAACAAAGCACTATAATACCTTCAATAATTATTAAAATCTTGTTAACAAGCTTTATTATTGTAAACTTAAACAATATATATATATAAAAAAAACAAATAAATAAATAAAGCAGTGTTTTAGCCTATATTATATTATAGTATAATATTACATTATATTTTAATCCATTCATTCATTTTCTTGTCAGCTTAGTCCTTTTATTAATCCGGGGTCACCATAGCGGAATGAACCGCCAACTTATCCAGCAGGTTTTTACGCAGTGGATGCCCTTCCAGCCGCAACCCATATCTGGGAAAATTATATTTTAATATTATATAATATTATATTTAGCCTGTATTAATACATCAGGATAAGCATGTTGTTTTACAGCCTATATTGGCCTACATATACGTCCTCCTCTTCATCATACTTTCCCAGTTGATTGCTTACATTAAGAATAAAATGTTATGTTTAAATATGGAAATGACACATTATTTAATTTAAAAAGTCCTCTAAATGCCACCCTCTACTTTCAGTACTGATCTGTGTCTATATTTCTGAATTGGCACTTATAGTTATTATGCTTATCATATACTGTTTTTTGTACAGTCTGTGGGTTGAGGTTAGGTTTATATAAAATGTCTTTGAATTTTAAGACTGTATTGTTATTATTTATTTCTGATATTTTCTCTTCTTGTTTGTTTAACTGTCATAAAAATCGAACAAATAAATCACATATAAAAATTAACTGTTTATCTTGAAGTCGGGTTAAAAAAAAGTAGTTTTTAAAAAAATACATATTATAGTTGATAGTTTTTTACAGAGGGAATTTGGGAGATCTATTTTTATCACTCCATAATTCAAATAATAATTCAAACAGCCAGAAAGAAAGTAAAAAAAAAAAATCGGGCAAGTTATGTATGAGGATATCCCTCAGTAAAAACCTACAGAATAAAACTTTAATGTTTGCTGTATGTAAGTGCTTCTGGGGTGGAGATATATGACTGCCTACGGCCTTTATCAGTATGTAGTGAAGGAAAGTCAAGTGTTTGTGACTGTACCTGCCAGGCTGGTCGGGGTATTTCTGTTTAGTGTAGGTCTCCAGCGAGGCGTAAACCTTCTCCCTCAGTGCCTCCACCTCCAGTGAGTTTGACAAGCCTTTGGCGTCTATGAAAAAATACAGTTGGTGTGATTGAATACATGTTCGGTCTCTCAACATAATGTAGTCAAATTTACATCTACTGTAATTACATTGAAGATACGGTATGTGTACGGTAATACATACATACACACATATAAATAAATATATGTTATATGTTTTTGGTTATATGCTTCATGAAGAATCAGATTTTTTGGGTAAACTGTCCCTTTATTTCTGCTTTTTATTTTATATATATATATATATAAAAACCCAAATTCACCAGGGTTGAAGAGGACGATGGCCCTAAGGCAGCCTAGTTCTGTCTTATCCATCTGCATGTCCTTCATTTTAGACACCAGTTCGGTCAGTACCCTGTCACACAAACACACGCACAAAGTGAATGCACAGTACATGTAATAGAAAATACAGCTTGTCCGGTTGACTGTCTGAAAGTGTAAAAGCTGACCTGTTGAAAATGGAGCCAACTCCTGCACTGTGAGCACTGCTCCTGTGGACATGAAGCCCTGTGCCTAGCAGGATGCCATCTTTCACTGTGATGGAGCGATGAGAGAATGAAGCAATGAGCAGCTCGTTCCATCCTGAGAAGAAAAACAACATCAGCATAATCATTTCATTCATTCAAAACAGTGTTCTTTGCCTTGTTGGGTAAGGTTACTTTTAAAAGTAACACATTACAATCTTAAGTTACTTTTTTACGCATAAAAAGTAACAAAAAAGAAATTACATTTCTTTGTTACTTTTTAAAGCAATGTAATGTGAAAGTAGTCATGTTATTTTTCCTTTTTATTTTTGTTCCACATTGAGGAGAAAAAGAACATCTAAACAATTATTTCATTCATTTAAAACAGTGTTCTTCACAATGTTGTGTAAAGTTACTTTTAAAAGTAACACATTACAATCTTCAGTTACTTTTTTAAGTATAAAAAGTAACTAAATTACTTAGTTACTTTTTAAGAAAAGTAATGTAAAAGCGAGCATGTTATTTTTGCTTTTTATATTTTGTTCCATCCAAAGGGGAAAAAACAACAGTAGGAGAATCATTTCATTCATTCTAAACAGTGTTGGGTAAAGTTACATTTAAAAGTAACACCTTACAATCTTCAGTTACTTTTTGAAGTATAAAAAGTGTAACTATAAAAGTAACTAAATTACTTTTTATGTTAATTTTCCTTTTTATTTTTGTTCCATCCTGAGGAGAAAAACAACCTCTGAAAAAAACTTTCATCAAATTAAAACAGTGTTGGGTAAATTTACTTTTAAAAGTAACATATTGCAATCTTCAGTTACTTTTTTTATTATAAAAAGTAACTAAAAAAGTAACTAAATTACTTCACTTTTTCATTTCAATAGTTTTATTGTGTTTTTTTCCAGATAATATACAAACTTATAAATGTATATAAAAATAGGTGTCCTATCAGCAAAGAGATGACATCAAATATATAGCAACAACAAAAACAAGAAAACTGTAGAACCATCCCTCCCATCTCCCACCCTATTTCCTGAGGCTTTCAATAAGTATGCAAAGGTGAATCAAGACACAGATAAATAAATAATAAACTAATAAAAAAATAATAATAAATAAATAAATAAATAAATGAAAAGATATAATAAAAATACAGGTAAATATAGAAGAAGAAAATGTAAAGTAAATACTAAAAGTATCTCGTTCTCCCGTTTGAAAGTCTAGTGAGCAGGTTCTGAAATGTTAGGGTTCTCAATGACAGACAGTATGGGACTCCATGTTTTGTTAATGGAGTTCAAGGATCCTTTATCTTAGTTTCTCAGGATAGATGCAATGTAGAACCTCTCTTATCCAGTGTTCTGATGATGGAGGAGACACATGTTGCAAGGTGGTAAAGGCAATGATGCAGCGTGTTGATGTTTGAGTAGTTGGGGTTGGAAGATAACCAAAAAGAGCAGTCAGAGGGTCAGTAATTACATAAGTTTTTAAGGAAAGTAATGTGAAAGTATGCATGTTATTTTTGCTTTTTATTGTTTGTTATGTTTAAAGATTAAAATTGTGATATATTATTTTAAAAGCTACTTTACCCAACACTAGTCCTTCATTAGCGAGGCTTTGTAATGTTCTGTGACGGATGTGTGTGAAATGTTTGACCAGCAGAGGTCAGCATTCAACACGCTTCTGTCTGACCCTTTGGCCTGAAGTGACTATTGGCAAAACTAATAGTCTTGGGTGTGTTCACACTTTTGATTAAAACAAACCCTGTTGTGTTTGTTCTGTTAAAGTTGCTCACATGAATAACTGAACGCTGCCATTGTAACTTTGGATGGAATTAAACATCTTTAAAGTGGACTTTATCCACAATCCAAATCTGGTGCAGTTTGACTAAAATATGAAGGCAAAATAGACCACTCAAATCTAAACAAATTTAAAAAAAAAAACACAGGTCATAATGTCAGATGATCTGACTATCAAAAAAACAGCATGCTTAAGCATTTCAGTTATTTATTTATTTTGGTCATAGCTGCAATGCTGCTAAGAATAGTTCAATATTTACGTGTACCTTTAGGTTTGATATTAAAAATGACAGTGTGGACACTAAGGTCAAGGTCAACTTTTTTATATAGCACCTTAAAACAACATGAATGTTGACCAAAGTGGTTCACAAACATGGCAAAAATAATAAACAAATAAAGAGAGGACAATATACTGTATGCCACAAAAAAATGTAAAAACTAAAAATACATTTTAAAAATCTGTATAGTCAATTAGTCCTAAAAAAGAAAACAAAACTTATATCAATAGGCCATTCACAACTTATAATCGTTCTAATTTTTCCAGGTAAATTTTTTTATTTACTTTCCCAACCACGTATGGAGTCACTTGACCCGGCGCATCCCCCTCACGTGACTGACGCTGACCTCTCAAAAAATTTTTACTACAGGTCAAGAGGACGTATAGCGCAAGCTCTGTGATTGGTTAGCTTGGTAGCGTTTGCGAGTGTGGGACATGCGAAGAGGCCAATATAAATAAATAAATAAATAAATAAAAGAATCGTTCATTAATCATAATCGAGTTAAAATGTTCAATTATTCGAGAATTTGATTTTAGGGCAAATCGCCCAGCCCTACTAAGTGGACCAATATTAGATAAACATATAAAAAAAACATTTAAGTTTTTTTATTCAATTTAAATTATTTAAATATAAAAGTTGAATTAGTAAAATGACAAAAACATTTTTTTTAAAAATATGAAATAATATATAAAATAACAATACATTTCTATAAAAAAACTAAATGAAAATGAAGACTAAAAAAAATATATATATTATAGTTATCTGTATATTTTAAAATTAATAAATTAATATTTTTTAGCCTGAATAACATACTAACAACTTCTTTAGCAAAT